AACAATAAATAGAAGCGTCTGCTTCCTCCCAGTTCTTTAAAATAGGCTTTAATTTATTTGGTCAGTCAGTCATTCAACAACCACTCAGAGAGCATCCACTCCATGGCATATACTATGCTAGACCCTGGGGATCCTAATAGGACATTGACCCTGATTTCATGAGCTTACAGCCCAATGAACACACAAGAAGAGCACCAATGGCTACAGCACAGTGCTCTCTGCGCTGGGACATGTGGGTGCAGAGGTGCCATGGGAGCTTAGAAGAGGTGCAGCTACATCACCATACTGGGGCATCAGGGGGGCTTCCTGGAAGGGTCAGCACCTAAGCTGAATTTTAGACAAGATAAAAGGTTAACCAGGAGAACAAGGAGACCATCTGGTGGGGAGGAGGTGAGGAGTGCAGGTTGTTGCAGGAGGAAATAATCTATGTAAGCAAGATGGAGAACTGGGGTTCTTAAGAGTAGCTGGAATGAAAGCTGCACTTTGAGGAGAGGAGAAGGAGGAGATGGAGACACAGGAGGAACTATGCCACAAAGGGTTTTCTTCCAGGCCCAGGCACCAGGGTTCCTGCTTATTTCCATGGTTGGCTCTGTGGATTCCTGCAGCAGCAAACCATTGCACCCAATCAGTGATACTCATCAGTGTAAACTCGAGTGAGTTATTATTAAAACTGAGAGCTCAACAGCAGAATGGCGTGTGGCCTATTTTTCCCAGCCTTCAGTGTGGGAGCACATCCCAACCAGAAAGGAATTGGGAACAATAGGGTAGCCATGGAGCATAGACCTTGCTACTCAAACCGGGGTCCTTGGACCAGCAGCATGAACACCAACTGGGAGTTTGTCAAAAATGCAGATACTCAGGACTTACCCCAGACCTGCTGAACTAGAAGCTGCATTTTAATAAGAACCCCAGTTTATTTGCATGCATGTTAAAAGTTTGGGAAGTGCTAGCATAGTGTTTAAGGGTTCAGGCTTTGGCATCAGGCAGAACCGGATTTAAGTCCCTGCACATCATTCGTGACTTTGTGACCTTGGGCAAGTTACTTAACTTTGATGAGCTCCATTTCCTTCATGATTAAAATGGAATGTTAGCACCTATATCAATGCCATTATGATGATTAGATGATGGACGTGAAAGCACTTAGCCCAGTGCCTGACTTTGCTGTAAGTTCTCGGTAAGTATTCTCTAACGATAGCAATAGGACCCTCGAGGGTGCAGTTAGAGCTCAAAGATCACCTTCCTCAAAGAGGGTGTGTATGAGTTTTAGGTGTTCTTCTATAGAAAGAAATCCAACCTGTTGAGTATTTGGCTGCCACAAAGTTCTAGTTTGAAAACAGGTGGCCCTACGAATCTATATTTCTTTTCCTTTACAGAAATAGGCTGGACAAAGGGCCAGCAGTGGGCGAGGGTGCTGCTTTCTTTCTAGTGTTCTAAGGGGCAAGTTCCTGAATATCAATGGACCATATGGGAAACCAGTGGCCCGGAGCAAAAGGAATCGTGAAGAGCCTTGTCCCGCAGCGGCAGGTCTATGGTGATTCAATAAAGGTTAGCTGACATCTGCTCCTGGAACCTGTAGGCTGGGCTGGCCACCAAGGCCAGAGAGGTGGGCCCTCTGCAGAGAAAACTTTTTTTTAATGCATTGCTGTATATTAAAGAACAGTTTTAACAAAGAAACATCAAGAGTTAATCAGTGGTGAGGTAGCATCCTAGATAGCAGTCAGTCAACAAACATCTTAAGTGTCTGCAATCTGCCAGGCATCATGGGCCCATCAGAGACAGTCTCTGCCCTCATGGCACTTATAGACTAGAGGGTAAATGAACATGACATAAACGACTGTTAAATCATTTTAACTGTGTTACAATTTGGAAATACATGATGCATAGCTTGGAGCAAAGCAGGACATTGTAAGAGGCTGGGAGTCAGGTGGTGCAAAAGCTGTCCCAGCTCTGACCCTAAGTCAGTGCACTATCTCAAGCACTTCCCTTACTTCCTCTCTAGCACTCAGTTTCATCATCAGAAAAAAAGGGGGATTTGGCATTGATGGCCTCCAAGCTTGTTCCCCAACTTTGGGTGTCTGTGTTAAGGGTTAACAGCATCCCATTCATACATCCCCCTAAAAAAAATCTATTCTCTGAAAAAGGAAGATTTCCAGAATCCCCTTTATAATCTTGGGGACTGTCTGCTGAGGCTTAAAGGTATACAAGACCATTTATTGTGTGTGGGTTGCCAGATGCTAAAGACCCTGGCTGGCAGTCTCAATGTCTGCTTCCTTCTCATGACTTGCCTGGCATGGGGGTTAAAGAGCACAGATTTTGGAGTCAGACTATCTGGAATCAACTGAAGAAATTCCTCCCACTCACTGTGTGAGCTTGGGCGAGACACTTAGCTTCCCCAGCATCAGTTTCCTCCTGTGAAAGACAGAGGTGATTGGGAGGCTAGCAGCACTCGACAGATGATGTTGCTGCAGGGATGTAACGAGACAGTGGGTGTCCCGGAACATAAGAAATACCACGGGAATAGCTCTCTTACTACTATGAGAAGTGGGTTCAGAGTTCCTGGAGTGGTGTTGGGGAACTGATGGCAGGCACCGAATGGACCCTGGAATCTGGTTCAAGGAGTTTGCAGAGGAGTATTAATAAGAGAACATAGCTATTTTACTGTGACCACAGAAAGGAAAAACTTTAGACTAGCAGTCCAGGTGTCTGAGTTCTGAATGTGGCTTTACACTGACACACTGGATGACATTGGTTAAATCAGCCTATCTCTCTGGGTTTCAATTCAATTTCGAGTTAGGATTAGTTTCATCTCAATTTGGGACTGTGAGAATCTGGTGAGATCATATAAATGACATTGCTCGGGAAGGTAGGAAGAGCTTCACACACGTGAGCTCCTGTCGTGAAGACTGCACTCAAAGCCAGAGAGGATGGATAACGCATGCATCTTTCCCAAGCTTTCCAAAAATAATGAGTCCACATGGTATGGATAGTTCATCATTGCTTACAAGGCAATGGAAGGAAATGCAGATTTGGTGCAGTTTTATTATGAATAGCACTCTTCCTTGTGATGAGTAGACTTTTGTCCTGGAAGTTGTCTTCTTAAGATGGTTTGAGCAAGTTGGGGTGTGAATGTTGACTCGTGGGGAGCACCCCAAGTGGAGGCTGGAACTCTTGGAGAGTATGTACTCCATCCTAGCGGTATGTATCTGTTTCCTCCCCTCTAGTAGCAGCTCCAGGGAGGACAGAATCACACTTCTGGAAGTCACTGCATTTGACAGTCAGAAAAAACAGTCTGAGGACTCTTTTCCTGTGAGATTTTTTTTAATCTGAACTTGGGTTCTTATTTGTACAGCTCATTGGCCCTCAGTCTTCACCTTGCATGAATCAATCAAGATTCCCTCGGTCTATCTTTTTCAACCATTGACTTTCTTCTAAGCTATAATTTATCTGTGAACTCTGAACACTGACAGAAATGGTCTTATGTGAAAGCTTCTTTGCAAAATGGCTTTGTCATATCGAACTATTGAGAGCTGGTGTTTGCCGAGCTTCTGCTTCAAACAAAGCTGTCATTAGAGCTCTAAAAGACACAGCCTCATGGAAAATTCAATCTCTCTATCTTCGAGGCTCTTACCTTATCTCTAGGGAGATTAAACATGGACATAAGAAAAGTGAATTTAAAATATAGGTCAAGTCAAGACGCCGGTGGGGAGGTAGGCAGAGCCTAACTCCACTGCTGCCGCTGCCGCCACCACCTCTGCTCCAGTTGTTTCTGGGTCTTCAAGTTCTCACCACTTGGGAGAAGCTGTCAGAGCATCAGATCCCTGGGAGGAATAGAGAAGGCAAAGCAAGAGAAAATAAATAAACAAACAAACAAATAATAAAAAAGATATAGGTTAATATGCGGAGAATTCCAAAGGGATGGTTCTAGTGGCAATTTCTACAAAGATGGAAAAAATTGGAAACCCATGAGTTAGATCCAGCCCAGAGAGAGAGAGAGAGAGAAGAGAGAAAGAAATAGAAAGAAAGAAAGAAAGAAAGAAAGAAAGAAAGAAAGAAAGAAGAAAAAAGAAAAGAAAGAAAAGGGTTATGCATCATGTCTGCTTTATCTTGAAAAATCAGGAGATTTGGCCAACTAAACCAGCATTGGAGCATTTCACTCAGCAAAGCAGTTGCCACCCTTTAGATAAGGTAGGACCCAGATCTCACAACTCCCCCCACCCGCAATGTCCTTATTTGTACCTTGACCCACTTCCCTCATTCACTTTACATGCCTGACTCCCGTGGACATTCTGAGTTCAAGAACCTGCCATTGTGGTTCAAAAAAAAAGAATTCATTGTGAGCTGAATACGATCCCATGAACAGGTGGGATTTCTCATGGTTATTGAATTCTAGGTAGGATTTTGGTAGATAAAAGAGGATTTTTCAAACAGAGTGTGTTCATAGAGGGAGAGGTACATTCAGACAGCAACAAGCAGACCACTGGGCTGAGCTGAAAGTCCACATTGGGAAGTGCTGGAAATAAAGAGAGGAGATGCAAACTGTGAAAGAATCTAAATGTCAGGTGAACTGATTGTGTTAACAAGGGGAGCTCCTGAAGGTTTTCTGAGGTCAAGGAGGAAAATGGAGTTTTAGAAAGATTGCACATACTCATGAAAGGTTAAAAAGAAAAAAGGTGAGAGACATCAACATTGGTTAGAGGCTGGTGCAGAAGTCCAGGATAGAGGGTCTGAGCATGGTAGGAAGCAGCAGGAATGGGCAATAAATCGTGGGAAGATATGGGGAGGGAAGAACCGGCAGTTGATGGACATGTCGGGTTGAGGAGCAAGAAGAAATCACATAAGAATCAGCAACGATCTGGTCTGCAGGAGAGGGGAACATGCAGGATGCGAGACTGCTGTGTAGACTGTATCATCCTTTTCCCGGCCGTGCAAAGAATCTGCTGCAGGGGCCTTCCTCCCCAGGCCCTTCAGGAAAGGCTCTCATTCAGGCCTTTCTCTTCCAGGAGAAAGATGTGACTCCAGATAGACACCTACTGACCAAGGTTCGAGATGCTGCCCTATGGCTGGAGACCTTGTCAGACAGCAGACCCACCAAGGCTTCCCTCTCCACTGCCTCCTCCATTGCCGACTTCTTTCTTGCCCTAACCATCTGCAACTCCGTCATGGTGTCCACGACCACTGAGCCCAGGCAGCGGGTAAGGACTGGTGAAGATTGGAGGTGGAGCGGAGGAGAGATAGGGAAGTAGAAGGTAGGGTGGGGGCAATGTGGGAAGCCCTGATCAAGGAGACATGATGCCTGGGTCCTGGCCATGGTGTCACCGTTCCATCCCTGTGAGAACTTGAAAAGATCTCTTACCCTCTCTGAGTCTGCTTCCTCATTTTTAAATAAAATGGAAGACGTTATCTATGAGCTCTTTGTCTACCCTTCAAACTTTGTCTTTCTGTTCGCAGGGTAGCTATTAAGAGTTAATATTTACTGAGCACTTAGCTATGTGCCAAGCTTCATGCCAAACACTTTACCTGCATTATCATTTAATTCTCACAGCCCAACAACTCTATGAGCTGATATGTTCTTGGATTTAACAAGCAAAAAAATGACGGCTCAGAGAATTTGAGTAACTTAACAAAGGACATACAATTAACACATGGCAGAACCGTCCATGCAACTCTGTAACGACTCCTAATAGCACTGTTACACTGCTCTCTGCTTTTATTTATACACAGGGGCTCCAAATAATTAATACTGTGATGTTCTTCCCATGGAAATAATGTAGCTAGATGGTCATTTATGTAGAGTTATACTTTGACATCTACTGAAGGTAGATTTGTCTTCAATTTTCCACAAACTCTCAGCCAAGCTGCTCCCTTGTGGAGTCACTGACAGGAATAATTAAGTGGTACAACTTGTGTCTGTGAAACCAAGACAAGAGGGTTCACTCAGGCTCGACACCACAGCCTTTCCTTACTATGCCCAGATTCTAAACCACTCTGAAAAGTCACCAAGTTATGAGAGCTCTTCAGGGAGTTTGGGGAGGCAGGAAGCATTATCTGAGAAATTAACTATATTTTTGAGGGGTGAAGAAGTGACATTTTAAGGACAATACCCGACTCTCAATTTCCAAGTTCCCTTTAGCTGGCAGAGAGCTCCAGAGCCCAGTCTCTGGGGCCAGGCAGACACAGCTTTGAGTCCAAGCTCTCCTCCCTGCACACAGGTGATTGTGGCCAATTTATTTAACTTCTTTGTGCCTCAGTGTCCTCATCCAAAAATTGGGATAATGATAGTATCCCATAGAATTGCTGAGAGAATGAAATGAGATACTGCACACAAAGATGAACTAGAAAAGGTTATGGTAAGTATTCAGGAAATGTGAACTCTCATCTCCTTTTCTTTCTTTTGCCCAAACTCAGAATAGGATGATCAAAAGATAGAGGAAAATGAGCACTGTCAACCCCAAGAATGTCAGGGCTGGAAGGAAACATCTGCCCTAACTCTCTCATTTTGTGGTTAGGGAAACTGAGGCCCACAGAGGAGAAGAGACTTGCCCACGATCACAGAAGGCCCAAATAGTCTGCCTATTGCAAAATTGCCTTCATATTCTGCATAAGACAGCTTGATATTATCTCCAACGTTGAGAGTAATGTTCTACTTTCCTCTTTTGGCCACAAGGTCACCATCCCACCCTCAACCAAGGCTCTGGCCATGTCCCTGGAGAAGATTCAGCAGCTCTTCCAGAAGTTGAAGCTATCAAGCCTCAGCCAGTCATTCTCGTCCACTGCACCCTCTGACACAGACCTGGGGGAGAGTCCGGGGGCCAATGTGCCCACCCCAGACTCGGATGAGAGAGACGATGCATCTGTGTGCAGTGGAGGCTACTCTACCGATGGCGGCTACAGGAGCAGCATGTGGGACCAAGGCGACATTCTGGGTTCTGGGTCAGGCACATCCTTGGAGGAGGTGCTAGAAGCCCCGGCTCCAGGCCTGGCTGGGCCCGAGCTCTGTTATGAGGCTGAGAGCCCTGACGAGGCGGCCCTTGTGCACGCTGCCCATGCCTACAGCTTCACGCTGGTGTCCCGGACGCCTGAGCAGGTGACCGTGCGCCTGCCCCAGGGCACCTGCCTCACCTTCGACCTCCTCTGCACCCTGGGCTTTGACTCCATCAGGAAGAGAATGTCTGTGGTTGTGAGGCACCCGCTGACTGGTGAGATCATCGTCTACACCAAGGGCGCTGACTCAGTCATCATGGACCTGCTGGAAGACCCAGCTTGCGGTGAGTCCTGCCTCACCAGGGCTCCAGGGACAAAGGGCTCTGGAGGTGAAGAGGCAGTGTGCAATGGGAATCGGGAGTTCAGGTTACAGTGCCACCTGGCCCAGCAGGTCCCAACTGCAATATAGGCCCACAAGATGCTCTCCTCAAAGCAAGATCCTTAAAGCACACTGTATTTTACATCTCATTGGCCTGGAGAATCGCAGTGTCCATTAGCATATCAAAGACTACAAAGTCTTATAGCAGGGAAATGTCTTTATCTTTATTGATCCCAATTTCCAGTTTTCCAAACCCATTTAAACATGGATTATTCACACACAATCTTTTGCACAAGAATGTCCATTAACATACACTGGAACACCCTGTGGTCCTAACTCTTCACTTTGGCGAGAATCCAAATCAACCCATAAAGAGAAGTGACTTAGAAGAGGGGACACAGCTAACAGGTGTTAAATCCCAGGCCCAGGTATCCTGAATTTCTGTTCAGATCTTGTTTCATGCTGCCAGAATCCTGCACCGGGCTCAGGGCACTCTGGGAAGCCTCAGGTGTCCTTTCTCATCCTTTCCCCCCACCTTCCCCAGATGGATTTTTCATAAACTTGCAATGAGCCAAAAAAATGTTCCAAAGTCCATACCTGTCATTGTCCGATTTTGGAGCAGCATGAATTAGTGTGCAGCAGCTTTCTGATGGCTAACAAGGCAAAGACAGTTATGGGGCTATGATTCTCCCAGGATAGTAGATTCTAGCCAAGCTTTAGAATCGCCCAGGCAGCCCTGTGCCTCCTGCATTATCTGCTGTGGATCAGGGCCAAGAAGTTCATGGGGATTGATTAGTGTTTCGAATGGGAAGGGAGCTAATTAGTTCTCTTTATCCCAGATTCTGGCAGACAAGTAAATTTGGTACTTTTGAGTTAAGGGGCCTATCCCTGGGCAGCAGCCATTCGAGCAGCTCTGGAGATGTTTCTTTATTTGCTCCTCATCTGATTGCAAAATAGATTAGAGACGTTTCCAATAAAAGGCACATACACAATGTTACTCTGAGAATTAAGAAGCAAAACTTTGAATGGGGGCTGGGGGAATAACCCCAGGTTTAATAATATTTACGGTGTTTGAATATTTGATTTGACGCGGAGGTTCCTGACAGCCTGAGTGAAAAGGTAAACTCAAAGCGTGGCAAATAGAAGACAGAAAAGGTTTAATCTCGGGAGCTGGTGTCTTTCAAAATAAAACATTGTAATAGCGCTCAACAAGAAAACTCACAAATGAAGACTGTGTTTAAGGCACCAGGAAAACAGGAGTACCTGAAAAATGAATCATGGTATCCATTAGCATATTGAATAAATAATATCATTATTAAAACAGTCTTTGAAAGTATTTTTATGTTACGTAAAAACAGCCTTAGAGTAGTACCATGGGGAAAAAAATTAGAATTTTGTTGGACTTACCTCGTTATTAAGAATTATATTTTTAATTTTTCATTAAATTCCAGGATGATGCACAGATTCGGTTCACTACGAGGCCTTCTAAAAATCGCAATCCAGCCCTAGTTAAATAAAAAAAATTCTAAAGCCTTTTCCAAGCTCAGCTTTACAAAGTGCTGTGATTGATGAGTGATACCGGTGGCAGCTTAGATAAAGACAATGGTTGTGACATCGATTCCCCACACACAACAGCCAATGCAGGCTTAGAACTGTTTGTTATAGAATTAGATAGATAAAAGAACTGAAATTTCAAGAGAAATAAACAAATTACTTCTGATAGAAACTTATGTAGAACTTCACAAAGGGGACTTTGAGCAACACACTGAAATATTTTTCACACTAGATTTACAGGAAATGCAAAAAAAAAAAAAAAAAAGTTTTTTCTAAGACCATTTCTTGCATAGAAAAAAGGCTAACTCAGCAAACCCAATGCGGTGAAGAACTTAGCTAGTGAGATTCCGAAGTCAGGTGGCCATCCAGGGCTAAGGTGGTGACACAAAACACCGTAGGTGACAATAAAGGTTCAGACTTCTGGTGCCTGATTCTGCTGGGCTTCAACTGGACCTGAGAATCTCTAGTATTTGATTAAGTTCCCAGGCGACTCTCATGAAAACAGGTGCTTAGGAGAAGTACCTTAGACCACCTACCTTCCTTAATAGCATTTTTCTCAGGCAGGCTTTTGATGACAAGATAAAGAGAGCGGGCAATGTCAGGACTCCTGGAGTTGTCACCTGCTAGGGCAACCTGACAGCCAGGAGAGCTCCTGTGTGTTTCTAGGGTGGGCTGTGAAGGGAATTCCTCCTCTAAAGCATTTGTAGCCAACTGGGAAGATCCCGGGGTGTTGGGGATGGGGATCTCTAAGCATCTGTACATGGCTTCATGGGGACAATGACTATTTCACAGTGACTAACATTGATGTGGAAAAGAAGCTGAAGAAAATCCAAGCCCGGACCCAAAAGCACCTAGACTTGTATGCAAGAGACGGTCTGCGCACGCTGTGTATCGCCAAGAAGGTAAGAACAAAGTCTTCCGAGCATGCTTCCGATGTCATTGCTGAATGGCCTCAACCCTGCTCTGTCTTATTTTCTTTATAAAAGATGATTAGAGTTGGTTGTTTTAATATTTTCAAGATTAGCTATTCTGACTCACCACAAAAACCCATCACTGACCATTTTCCTGGAGCAGAGGTCCCATACCAGTGTGGCTAGATAATTTAAGTCACAATTTTGTCTTCAAAGGATCCTTTTAAAATTTGCACTATTTGCCTAAACTTAAATTTCGGGAGCTTTTTCGTATTCACATAAAAATCTAGATTTCTGGTTTCCCTTAAAAATTTAGAGGATCTGGCAAACTGTCTCCATTTTTGAATGGCAGCGATCAGCTACAACCGGGCAGGAGTCAATTCCTTTGATGAGAGATATGTTCAGGTGTGTTCTGCACTTGGCCATAGTCCCTACCACTCCCTACTGCATTGCCCTTGGCCTAGGTATAGTCATGTACATGATCCACCTTATGTTCTGCAGATCTTTGACTTTGTAGCCCCTGTAAGAGAGACAGGCAGTGAGTGCTGTGAATCACAGAGCAGGGGCATCTAATGAGGCACCTAAAATCTAGTAGGGGTGCTATGATGGGCATACATTTCTAGATAGCTAAAGTGGTTTCCCCTCCATAAACTCCCAGGGCTCTGCATCTCTTTTATAGTGCTTGATACAGCATTGAAGTTGAGCACCCACTTTAAAGCCAGACCCACCTGGGCGCCAGTCTCAATATCACTACTTTTAGATATGTGACCTTAATCAAATTTCTTCATCTCTCTGAGTTTTATCTATAAAATGGTGCTAATCCTCCCTACTTCATGCAGTTGTCACGGAGAATAACTAAGATAACACGTGCACAGCATCTGGGACAGCGATGAATCCTTACTACTACTCTATGAATTGGAACTATACCCTTACCACCTTCTACTTTCCATTGAAGTTATTTATGCATGTTTTGCTCCCCTAAGATACTGTGCATTCCTCAAAAGCAAAAGGCCTACTTTTGTCCCTTTGGTTTTCCCTATAGTACCATGCAGAGGGACTCAAGAAATATTTTTTTGCTTGGACAAAAGAATCCTTCATTGCTATAAGAGACAGTATACATGCAATGCCAACAGAAGGGTCTGAGAGTGCTATGGGACTGCAAGGGAGGAAGATGTGGCCGCGAGCTGCATTCTGCCAGCCCTCAGGCACCTCCAGTGTGTGACACCATGCCTGCTGGGCTGGTCAGCAGGCTGTGCAAGATCTGGCTGCTGCTCCTCTTGCCAGCCTCATTCTGAGCCTTTTCCACCTTGATTTCCGTCCTCCCACCACCTGATCTATTCAAGGAACAGAAAGAAGGGCAAGTCCATCGCTGTTTCACAGCCTTTGCACTTGGTCTTCTCCAGGACTGACCCTCTTTTGTCTTTGAATCTTAGTTTGCATGTCACTTGTCAAGGAGACCTGAAGATCCAAAAAGAAAGCAGCCCCCCTCCCTGAAGTTATTCCCCCATCCCCTTACACGCCATCATAGCACCCTTATTTTCTGCATAGCACTCGTTGAAATGATCTATTCTTTTAAATTTTATGCTTGGATATTATCTCACACCCTCCACCAGATATGAGCCCAGACATACAGGGACCTTGTTTGTCTTGATCATCTCCAGTGCCCTGCACACAATGAGGGCTCAATGGATGCTTGGTGGTAATGGAACACAAGGATCAATCTTCATTGATTCAGGCATTCAAAAAAAAATCAAGGAGGAGAAAGTCCCATCTAATTATTAATATGTAGTGAGATTCAAACAGGCCCATGGGAGGCCCAGCAGATAGGGACGGGAGAGGGAATTCTCTTGCTAACCCACCTGAGATTGCTAAAGAGCATTTTCCTGTCCCATAGGTCATAAGTGAAGAGGACTTCCGGAGGTGGGCCAGTTTTCGGCGTGAGGCTGAGGCATCCCTCGAAAACCGAGATGAGCTTCTAATGGAGACAGCGCAGTGTCTGGAGAATCAACTCACCTTACTCGGTAGCTAAAAATAAGTCATCATTATATGAAAAAAGGAAAGCGGCAAGTTGGGAAGGAAGTTCTTGGCCTTAATTCTGACACTGCTACAAATGTGTCTCAATGAGCAGCCTTCCCTGGGGTGCCCTTCCAGGCATTTGGCATAAATGGGCTGCACTGATACCCAGTCCAGACACCACACACAGCTTCCTTAGGATGCTCCGGGAGCATTACTATGCTCCCCGCAGGAGGAAGCCTCTGAATTTGGCTCCTTACCCAACAGCACACTCCTCCATTCATTTAGATGTTTGTTGAGCACCTACTATGTACCAAGTAGCATGCTAGGCAATAGGGCTACAATAAGGAACAGGAGCCACAGAGTCTGTTCTCCAAGAGCTCTGGGAGGAGGCTGGACAATTAGGCAAGTGATTTTAACAGAGTGTGATGAGAACTGGGCTAGAAGATGGACCAGGTGGGGTGAAAGCACAAAGTAGAAGATGCCAACCTAGCCCGGGGACCAGGGCAGGCCTGGCTGTTGACTGAGAGGAAGAAGACAAGCTTGTCAGGCAGAAGGAAGGGCCCAAATGAAGGCCGAGAGGTAGGAGCCTGGACTGGCAGAAAACACAGGGATCTGCCGTGGCTGCACCGCAGGGTGTGGGGAAGAAATGATGTGAGGGGACCCAGATTACAAAGCACCGTATAAATCGTAGGCTAAAAGTTTAGAGAGGGCCAGGGGGTGAAAGCAGGGACAGGTTGTGCGTTGCAAAAGTTACTCTGGCTGCTGCTGTGCAGGAGTTAGGTTGCTGTACTGGGGGAAAGATGAGAAGACAGAGATCAGTTAAGAGACAGGTTGTGTGTCTATGGGATAAAAAGTATTACCAAGGGGAAAAGGGATGCTTTATTGATTAGGATTAATCTCCTCCTACCTTGGGAGCAAGATCTAGATAAATAGTGCCCTAACAGCATGCTCTAACCATGTAGCAAAAGCCTTCTTTCATCTCAGTGGGCAATGCTGGCCTGGGGGCGAGGCTCAACTTCCAGCCCTGTCATGACCTTGCTGTGTGCCCAGGAACATGCCCCTGCACCCCTCTGAGCTTTGGCTTCTCCTCTGGCTGAATCATACTGCTTGAGCTGCCCAGCCAGGGTTCAAGGGGAAAGACCCCAGGTCGCTGTCACATGGTGATACCTGTGCATATAAAAGGTACCAGCAACAAGGTTGAGTTGCCAGGATGGCTGCAAGGCAGGGAGAGGGCCACTTCCTTCAGCCTTCTGTTTCTTATGTCTCGGCTGCAGAGGCCTTTGCATGCCGCCCCAAAAGGCCCCCTTTCAGGCTGGACACGAGGAGTCATTTTATTAACAACAAGAACCAGAGGGTGGTTAGGCCAGACAACTCGATCCACCACACACGGCCACCAGAAAGTCATCCCATTAGGGCTCCCGAGCCACTTCTTGCCCCTGGGAGGGCCTTTGTTTCCGTGCAGCACTCCAGTGCCCACCCGTGGGAGGTGTTCATCAGCTGGTTCTGCATGAACAGAACACACTTGTCAGAACCTGCCGCTTCCCCTGGCTGGGAAAGGCTTTCACGACCTTCCTGTTTCATTTTCTCTTTCACACAAATAAATGTGTTTTTCCTCGTCTCTCCTTCATTCTGCCTCGCTGTCATATAAATCAGCCTCAGCATCTCACCTTCCGGACTAGCCCAGAAAAGGAAAGACGAGGCTCGAGCCATCACTTTCCATGGGGCTGTTTACCTGCGCGTTTGAACCTGAAATGCAAGACACGCGCGCTTCCGGGTAGAGAGGTTGTTTTCCTCCCCCGAGGTGGCTTGGAAAGGAGAGGACTGAGCTGAGAAGAGATTTCATCTTCACGCCAACAAACTAGCACACCATTAAAACGCTGCTTTACCTTCGCGCGATCTCAAAATATGAAATGATCTTCTCAATATGCATCCAATATAGCTGCTTTGCCAACCTATTGTCACTCTGGATTATCAAAAGAAACAAAATGCCTCGCTCCTGCCCAGAGTGAGCTGGGCATAGCCATTAGTCTGTGGTCTGGAATGAATCTCAATTGAAATGCAGATTTATTTTCGCTTAATCTCTTAGCAACTATTCAATACTGGGGTATATATTCACCAGGGTTGATGCTAAGCTTGAGATCATTCAAAAATTATGGAATCTAAAAAAAAAAAAAAAATTAGGGAATCTGCATGTTTAATTCCCTCCATGAATATTATCAAAAATATGAGCCCCTATTCATTCCGTGATCAGGTTGCAGGGCAGAGATGTCAGTCTCCCCACTTCCCTGTTCCTATTGCTCCAGGCCGCTGTCATTGCTCCTCTGCACGCCTACCCAGCCTCCTAAGTAGGGGCTAGCCCTGAATCTCATCCCCTTTCTCCAATTTCCAATCTATTCTCTAGAATGAGCTTAAAACTCAAAACTGATTCTGTCACTCCCCAGCTTGACAGCCTTGAATAGCTTCCTATGCTACCAAAGAAATTACAAATCCCTTAGGCCCTGGCAAGGCTCTGCATAATCCCACAGTCTTTACCTCCCTCCCAGCCTCATCTCTCACCTCACTCTGCCTCCCTTTCTGTGTCTTCTACTCTAACCTCTGGGCCTCCATTCATGCTGATCCCTGCACCTGGGATTCTCCTCTGCCATCTCCTGGCTTTGTCTTCCAGGTCTGAGCTTAAATGGCACTTCCCCAGCAAGGCCCACCCTGGTCTTCTAGGTGAAGTTAGGGTCTCCTGACATAGAGTCACATGGCAACCTGACCTTCTGTCATCATATAGGGCAGTTATAAATACTTATTCAACAACCTTTGAGCTCCAACAGGTTAGAGACCAGCTCTCTCTAGTTCACTGTGTGTCCTGGGTGCCTGGCACAGCCTAGCTCAGGGACCATGTCTACTATTGCCTGGCTTCACAGAGCTTTGGAGGAATTAAGCAGCTACTCTTTGACCATAAACGAGAGCTCTGGTGTCTTTGGTCACTCCAGGAGCGACTGGGATCGAAGATCGGCTGCAGGAAGGAGTTCCAGACACAATCGCTGCTCTGCGGGAGGCTGGCATCCAGCTCTGGGTCTTGACTGGAGACAAGCAGGAGACAGCAGTCAATATCGCCTATTCCTGCAGACTGTTGGATCAAATTGACACTGTTTACACCATTAATACAGAGAATCAGGTGAGGCCAGTAGGGACCAGATATCCAAGTACAAAGCAGCCCCTAGGCCAACAGGAGACAGGCTTATGGTGGGATTTGGGTACACTGGGAAAGCACTCCCACCCCCAAAATATCACTGAATCTTGGATTTTGGAGGACCCTGGAAGTCATCCAGCCCAATATCTTGCACTTCATCCCCACACATGGCTGACTGGTGTCTTTTGTATTACTTCTGGCACTACTTAGTAGGAAGTTTTACCTCTCCCAAATTCTACTCTTGATCCCATCTTCCCATTTTATAGGTAAGGAAACTGAAGATCACTGGGGCCAAATCACTTGCCCAGGTTCACCCTGATAGTTTCTGATAAACAGAACTAAGTCTAGAGCTCTGTCCTCCTGCCGGACTGGTGCTATTTACATTCTACCACATTATTCGCTCATAGAACTCAATTGTCAGTTTCTTGCTACTTAACATCAACTCATGCATTGAAAAAGTCCCAATTAAACTGAAATTATTCTGAGTTTAAAATTTCAGCACCAATTTCTATGTCACATTGGTCTGTCACATAGCAGAAGCCTGAAGGGTATAATACACGAGGCCAATACATTTTGATGGGATGGGAGGGAGAAAGAATGAAGAAGCCAAGTCCTAAAACTGCAATTTTCAATCAGAATCGGGCATGGGTGTCCAGGAGTGAGATTTGGAGACAGGACTGTGGGAAATCTGAAGAAGCATATTCAAAGCTATGATACAATTTTGGATTTGGAAGGAAAAGTGTGTTTTCACCATGCAAATTGTAGAAGGCAAAGTTCCACCATCTTCTTGGCTGATGAAGATGGGAGGGGCAGTGACACGTGTGCTCCTATCGGAAGGGAGCAGGGACTGGGTTTTACGGAGGAGACTAATAAGGAGGGCACCGTACTGCAGAGGTGGTGGGCAGAGGGTACCTGGAGCCCCAGGGATACCACGGGGAAAAGGACAGAGAGGAGGGAGGAAGACAGGAAAAGGGAAGTTTCCAGAAATGGAGGCAGGGAGAACACTGCAATCTCCCTCTTTTTTTTTTTTGAATAGAGTCTCTCTTTGATGCCCTATCTAGCGTGCAGTGGCATCATTATAACTCACAGAAACCTCAAAGTATTGGGCTCAGGCGATCCTCCTGCCTCAGCCTCCCAAGTAGCCAGAACTACAGGTGCACACCACAACGCCCAGCTAATTTTTCCATTTTTAATAGAGATGGGGTCTCACTCTTCCTCAGGCTGGTGTCAAACTCCTGACCTCAAGCAATCCTCCCACCTTGAACTCCCAAAATGCTAGGATTACAGGCATGAGCCACCACGCCAGCTAATCTAGACCCAGAATAGAAGTTTAGGGGGGGTTATATTTGGGTTTTAATCCATGAAGAAACCATATACACATAATTTAAAAAAAAAAAGAGTAGTATAGACTGAAAAATGCCTGAGGCCCTTTTAGATGAATTGGAAAAATCATTTACTTTCCTATCAGCTGCACAGATTATGCTATGATTAGATTAAACCCCAGTGAATTTTCAAAATGAAAATAATCTCAGAGAAAAAAAGACTTTGGCTTTAATATTATGATTAGGAAAGAAAGTAATTTTCAGCTTGCTCGAGTGCTTGATCCCTACGCCTGCCTGTCCTGCTTGTGATGGAAATTCAGTTTGCAGTGATTCTTTCACTCCAGTTAATTCTGGAAGGGAGGACATCTGCAAACCAGGGAGGCAGCCAGCCCGAGAAGGGTGGAGTGGGCTTCCATGGATTCTGTTAAATGCCGTGCATTCCTGTAGGAAGCTGAAGATGTTTAGTGGTTAAATAGCCAAAGTTCCTAAGGAACAATCAGCCACACTCCATCTTTAATTCGGTCAATGTCAATTCTTTTAATACTGTCCAGGACCCTCCAAGATGGTGCCTGAATCCTCAGCCCTGCCTACACCCCGGGGCCCACTAAACCTGTAACATTAGTCTTTCTCATCCCTTTGCCTAGGAATAAGTTAGAGATGCATAAATATGTTAAGCCAGAAACTGGGGAAATACATTCTAAATCTTAAATTTATTTAAACCCCAGTTTAATGTAATTACATATTCAGTGGATATTTCCTCCAAGGGTTTTAATTTGCCTAATTCACTATAAATTGATTTAAGGCTACTGTCTCTTTGCTATGTATCCTAAAGCAATAAGCAAGTTATGAGACCTACCTAGACTTCAGGGTTCCCATCCACAAGATGAAGGAATTACTAACTCATCACTGGAAGTGTTGATCTGTCGAGGAGTTTTAAAAGGGACTGTATTAGATAAGAACGAATAATAACAATCACTATTATTGTTATTATTAACATGTATGGAAGGCTTAATGTGGTCTAAATACCATGGTTTTTGCACTTCCATTACCCTCATCTGTAAAATAGCGGTTAAAAATAATTATGTCACAGGATACTGGGAGGATTAAATAAAATCATAGAAGAAAAGTTCTTACTTATCACAGTACTTATATTAGTTATCTATTACTGAATAATAAATTACCCCAAATCTTAGCAGCTGAAACAATAGACATGTATTATCCCATGGTTTCTGTAGGTTAGGAGTCCAAGAACATCTTAACTGTGTGCCTCAAGTTTAAGGTCTCTCTTGAGGTTGCAATCAAGCTGTCAGGGCTGTGGGCTCACCTGAAGGCTCAACTGGGCAGATGATTTGGGAGTGGGAAGGAGTTCTGCTTCCAAGGTCACTCACATGATTGTTAGCAGGCCTCAGTTCCCTGCCTGTGGGCCTCTCCATAGCACTGCTATACAACGTGGCAGGTGGTTTCCCCCAGGACAAGGCATTCAAGAGAAAGAAAAAGAACCAAATTGGAAGCCACAGACTTTTTATAACCTAATATGGGGAGTGACATCCCATCACTTTTGCAGAATTCCCTTCATGAGAAAGGAGTCACTCGGTCTAGCCCATACACAATGGAAGGAGATTACACAAGAGCATGAATACCAGGAAGTGGAAATCACTGGGAACCATCTTACAGGTTGCCTACCACAGTACCTGACATATGCTAAATATTCAGTAAATGGTAACTATTATGATTATTACTCTAAAAAGTTGGACATAAGTAAATTCAGAGACTTAATTTTGAAGCTTATATCTCCAAAGATTTGCTGCAGTCATCTATTCGAGGAATTTATATATTTGGTACTAATCCCAACTTCCAGCAAGGACCACCTTGATCTCTTTCCCAGATAAGTGACTGTGGTACAACCATTTGCTCCTGAAACCACTTCCTGTGGCCCCTCTAGGCTCTGTGCAACCCTATTGCCTGCAAAGCTCAATTTAGCATATAAAAGGAAGACTCAGGAACAATGAGGTGTGGCTCTGTTCCTTCCAAAAGAAATTATTCTAGACATTTCCAGACAGAAATCTCTAGATCAGTGTTCCTCAAACCTGTCCCTTCAGAACTACCTTCACAATTTTCTCCAAAATCCACATATGATCTGTACTGTTTTTTATTTAATGATTTTAGTTAAATTGACTTGCTTTGAACATTGTTTATTTTTAGAAGAAATTTTTAGCACATCAATAAGTAAAAAGTCATCATCTCTTGCTGTGGATAAAAGAACACTGTAAAATGAAGAGCATGTGAAGAAAACAATACTGTTAAAATTGATAATACTTTTATGTGTTGCAACTTTATCTTTATTAAAAAGTGATGTTGGCCAGGCATGGTGGCTGTAATCCTAGCACTCTGGGAAGCCAAGGTGGGAGGATCACTTGAGCTCAGGAGTTCAAGACCAGCCTGAGCAAGAGAGAGACCCTGTCTCTACTAAAAATAGAAAAATTAGCCTGGTGTGGTGGCATGTGCCTGTAGTCCCAGCTACTTGGGAGGCTGAGGCAGGAGGATCGCTTAAGCCTAGGAATTTGAGGTTGCTGTGAGCTAGGTTGATGCCACGGCACTCTAGCCCTGGTGACAGAGCAAGACTCTGTCTCAAAAAAAAAAAAAAAAAAAGTGAAGTTCACGGAAGTTAAAAGAGATACTAAGAATATACTTAGAATCAAAATCTGACTTTATCTTTGATATAAAAAAAAGTAATAGAAGAAAATTGCTAAAAGGAAATAGCTTTCCTACTAGGCTTCAGGGTAAACACCAGAAAAAAAATCAGTAAGAAGAACTACAGTTTTTAGCACCCTTCATGGAGTAGACAATGTATTTTCTTTTATTAGGAAACCACAGTTCAAGTAGTAATGATACTGCCTCCACTACTGAGTATATATGACCTTGGATGAATTACTGAGATCTTATTTCCACTTCCTCATTTGTAAATTAAGATCTTCAATAAACACCCTACCTATCACACAGGAATGTTCTAAAGAACAAAGGAGAACTTAAATGACCTGTGAGAAGTAGAAAGCACCACACCAGCATGACACATTGTCATAATTTAACATCATATTAGTGTTATTTATTGTCTTATGCTGTCCTTGTATCAGTCTCCATCTTGCTGAGCTGTTTTCATTCCCATTCCCAAAAAGTGTCTCTTATTTTGACCATTAATTTGGTTCCAAATTATAATTGCTTTGATGCTATTTAAAATACCACAGAGAAATGTAAAAATTGGAGAATAACTCCTAAGTAGTCTCTGTGGCAGTAGAGTTTTACAACTATCTTACTAAAAAATAAAGTGAAACAGTTAACATCCATTTCCAAGGTTGCTTACTAATACTAGATTATTATAACTCTTTACAGGAAACCTGTGAATCCATCCTCAATTATGCATTGGAAGAGGTCAAGCAATTTTATGAACCACAGAAGCCAGACCGTAGGCCCTTTGGGTCCCGCCTCTGTTCCAAGACACCATCCACCAGCTCAGGGGCTGTGGTTCCAGAAGTTGGATTGGTCATCGATGGGAAGACACTGAATGCCATTTCCCAGGGAAAGCTGGAGAAGAAGTTCCTGGAGTTGACCCAATATTGTCGGTCTGTCCTGTGCTGCCGCTGCACCCCACTCCAGAAGAGTATGATCGTCAAGCTGGTGCGAGACAAGCTGAGCGTCATGACGCTTTCCATAGGTATCCACTGTGCTGAGACTCAGCTGGCAGCTTGGCAGGGATGATCTGACAAGAGCCCTGGGCCAGAGGTGGGAGGACAAGTATCATAGTCAAGATGCTTAGCCTACGGGTCATTATCTCAGAGGGAGAGAGTGCAGAGGACAGTCAAGATGTGGCAACTAGGAGATGAAGCAGAGGCTGAGTAGAGGGGGAGAGCGCATCAAAGACCTTTGGACTGGCAAGTCAGCTAAAGAAAAGTCAGGACTTAGATGGAGGCGAAAACCAACCAATTCAGGACATCCAGGTAGCTCAAGAAATGTTACCATCAACAATATACATACTTGGGCCATCTCAACTCTGGGATGCAAAGCATTTCCCCTTCAATACTTTACACGTGGCACGGCCTCAGGTGTTTATGGATTTGATATTCTTCTGAGGGTTGATGGCTGGTGGGGATATTTTAAAGATCAGGACCATCCCATGTTTAATTTTGTAAGTTCATTTCTAAATACAAGGCCAGCACAAAGCATATTCCCAACAAAGGCTAGCTAGTTGGTTGGTAAAGAATTGCTCAGAAGGGGCTAAACTTTAATAATACTAAGGCAGAGAACTAAAAACTGCACTTATTTAGCACCTTCCAGGAACAACCACACCTAGTTTACAAGAATCTTCATGATCTGGTCTTCATGACCCTCCAGCCACATGGCTGCCTTCTTCTTCCCAACACTTGGCTCCCAAGTGTTCCAACCTAATGAAACTGTTTACCATTTTCCATGGACCCTATCCTCTCTCACTTCCAGGTCTTGGCACAGGTTATTTCCTCTGTAAAACATTCCTTCTTCCAATCCCACCTAATTTTGCTTTCCTCTAGGTGCTCCCACAGCACCCAGTACTCATAGCTCCAAAGCACTGTTACACCTCCTATGATGGCCTCTCCGGGGACCATGTGTTCCTTGAGTATAGGAGCAGTGTCAGCCTTATTCACTGTTTGATCCCAGGCCCAGCACATACCAAGCACATAGCAAATATTGCATTCGCTTAGGGACATTCTCACAGATGGTGCCCATTCTCTTTCTGCTGCACAAACATGGAAAGAGATTTTCTTCCCTGACATTTCAAACAAGAGGCCTATGACACATGATGGGTTTTTTTCCTGGTCTTCAGGTAAATACAGTTCAGAACAACAAAAAAGTGGAGGAAGAAAGCAGAAAGAATGCAGGTAGCAGAACTTTAGCAACTGCATCCTACTTCTATACCCTCAATTGTCCTCTTTAGAAATTCAAACACACACAAGGCAATAGCCCAGGACGATTCCCTGAGGTTGGATATTGGCTTCACTTCCATAACAATAGAAACTAAACCAGCAGGGCGAGAAATAACATGGTTTCACACTTCAACTTCTCCCAGTTAGCTAACAGAAGAGGTCAAAGGTTGGATTTGTTCTGCCATGGGGAAGATTAAAATTATATATGCTGGCCGGGCGCGGTGGCTCACGCCTGTAATCCTAGCTCTCTGGGAGGCCGAGGCGGGCGGATTGTTTGAGCTCAGGAGTTCGAAACCAGCCTGAGCAAGAGCGAGACCCAGTCTCTACTAAAATTAGAAAGAAATTAATTGGACAACTAAAAAAATATATATATACAAAAAATTAGCCAGGCATGGTGGCACATGCCTGTAGTCCCAGCTACTCGGGAGGCTGAGGCAGGAGGATCTCTTGAACCCAGGAGTTTGGGGTTGCTGTGAGCTAGGCTGACGCCACGGCACTCTAGCCCGGGCAACACAGTGAGACTCTGTCTTAAAAAAAAAAAAAAAATTATATATGCTATGTGATCAAAAAAAAATTATGAGAATAGAGCCTACTTATAATCACAAAATTTTTAAAATCAATAAATTTGTTATCAAATAATTAAGGGAAGAACTATTCTTTCCCTCCAATCCATATTCTCTACGATGAATAATATAAATGTAATTGGAGCTTATGCTGAGAAGCTACTGGGAAAAGAGGTGGGGCCGGGAAGAGGACAAAGGCCATGTGGTCTACAACAGCGGCTGGCACGCTACAGCCTGCAGGCCAGATCCAGCCCACTGCATGTTTTTGCACAGATGCTAAAAACAGTTTTTCTATTTTTTTTCTTTTGAGACAGAGTCTTGCTTTTGTTGCTCGGGCTAGAGTGAGTGCCGTGGCGTCATCCTAGCTCACAGCAACCTCAAACTCCTGGGCTCAAGCGATCCTCCTGCCTCAGCCTCCCGAGTAGCTAGGACTACAGACATACGCCACCATGCCCGGCTAATTTTTTCTATATATTTTTAGTTGTCCGATTAATTTCTTTCTATTTTTTTAGTAGAGACGGGGTCTCGCTCTTGCTCAGGCTGGTTTCGAACTCCTGAGCTCAAACAATCCGCCCGCCTCGGCCTCCCAGAGAGCTAGGATTACAGGCATGAGCCACCGCGCCCGGCCAGTTTTTCTATTTTTAAATGTAAAATTTATAAAAGACTAATAGCCTTTCAGCAATAATAGCTGTTCGATTTTCCTTCTTGGCTCACAAAGCCTAAAATATTTACTATCTGACTCTTTACCGAAAAACTTTGCTAAACTCTGGTCTAAAAGATAAAGCCCTGGGGAGAGTCCGGCCTCTGGGGAGGGCCTCACTGTACAGAGCTGGCTGTGGCTACTTGAATTTAAAGTTATGTGGAATTTCGCCAACCTGGTTTCTACAGCCACATGTGTCAGTGGTTTCTGTACTGAACAGTGCAGATACAGAACATTTCCATCATCACCGAAAAATCTGTTTAACAGTTCTGGTTTAAAGAGAAGCCGTGTCTGTGTGTGCATGTGTGTGCATGTGCATGTGTGCATGTGTGTGCGTGCGTGTGTATGTGTGTGTATGTGTGTTTCCATGGCCTTACCTGCAGCTTCCCAAAACAACTCAGTTCATTGAATGGGAACTCAACGTGACTAAATGGATCTCAACAAAAAGATTCATCAATCTCATTTTTCTAAATTCAGAAACAAAACTGAATGCTGTCCTCTCCTTGGACACCATTAAAAATCTTTCATGTCCAAACCCTTCAGTTGTCTTAATTCCCTCAGTATTTCAAGTTTGACTGAGTCAGGGAAGCACATGAAAGATCTGAGCTCTGATTCTCCAAGGTCCCCTCCCTGGCTGGATTACCCTCAACAATCTCTGAATTGCTCATATTCTACCTTTGCTCATCAGTAAAGTCCATTTTGTAACATTCGTGAAGGCCCTTCTCTGTAAACTACAAAGCACTGCCCACATCTCTCTCGATCACCATTGTATCCCCAATACCTAGCATTGTGCCTAGAAAAAAAGACACTTAATCAGTACTGCGTTTGTTAAATGATAAAGAAAAAAGTAGGGCTTCTTGTCCAAAGAAGAAAAGACATCTCTCAGGCTAAGCACTGTAGCAGTGACTTTCTATGGGACTATTCAGAGCAATGTTAAAAGGAATGGGGACACTTTAGAGCCATCTGATTGTCACTGAGCACTTGGACCAGGAATAAAGGCATCTCATGACCTCTCTTCTTTCAGGTGACGGAGCAAATGATGTAAGCATGATTCAAGCTGCTGATATTGGAATTGGCATATCTGGACAGGAAGGAATGCAGGTATTGTCCCTCTCAACCGTTCTTGTTTCTTCCTTACTCTTCTTTATCCTTATTGGAGATTTAAGGAACTCCCCAGAGTGTCGGAGGAACTTCCGTTCAAGAACGTCCACCTACATCCACAGTTGCAGTGCCCTCTATAAGCAAGGACAGACATAAGGACGTTTGAAAACATTTTTCAATTGCCATTTTAGTCCTGATGGCTAGTTTAACCCCTAAACTGCTTGGTACACCTTCATGGAGTATCTAATTTCGTCAAAATTCAGCTTGGAATAAGCATCCAAACTTGACTGCTAGCTTTTCCCATTGAAACAACCCCATTTTGTGCTTTTTGAACCATTAACAACAATATTCCCACCACCAGTGCAGACATTTGGCGTTGCCTGAATTCGTCGATGAGGATAAAAGAGCATTGACCGGGAAGCCACAGATAGCTCTGAGTAGTACTCTTGAGTATCCCCCACATGCCCACACTCTGTTAGACACTTCACATTTAGTATCTCACTGGAATTTAATAACCACCACGACCCTGTGTGTTAGGGATTGTTACTCCATTTTTTTTGGATGGGGAAACTGAGGCTCGGGAAGTTTAAATAGCCAGACCATGATTCATACCAGGATTTATGACCAGGCGTGTGTCTAAACCTGGCTTCATGCTTTAAAAGCGTATATAAACTATGTCTGACTCTGAGTAATCCAGAGCTCCACATAGAGGAAGAGCCATCTAACCAGTGAAGGAGCCAATGGCCTGCCTCAGGAGATGGTGAGGGTGTTCAGAGATCTGGGAGTTACTTGAATGGAAGCCTCTACTCTCTGGTTGACATCACATCCCCGGTGCAGTGCCTGACACATCCAGGGCCACATAAATGCTTGCTGGGTAAATGAATGAAAGACCAGCCTAAACATTGGCCCTTCTGATCCACCCTCCTTGGATTCCAGTGAGGTTTCGATTTCCCAGAGGAGAGGGTGGGGTGTCAGAGTCCAAAGAGCCACCCAAGAGTGAACACATAACGACCAAGGGGTCATTCAGACCCTGCCAACTGTGGACCTAAAAACAAAGCGTCACCCTTGAGGGAGCCTCTTTGGGCATCAGTGGCCACGGATGGAAGCTGACGTGTCTGCTCTCCCCTCGCAGGCTGTCATGTCCAGCGATTTTGCCATATCCCACTTTAGGCACCTCAAGAAGCTGCTGCTCGTGCATGGTCACTGGTGCTACTCACGCCTGGCCAGGATGGTGGTGTACTGCTTCTACAAGAACGTGGTGAGTATCCCCATGGTAGCCTCCCTCCCAGGCCCGGGGAGTCCTCCCTGTGGGGCCAGATCTCCCCACAGTATCTCAGCATAAGGGAAGGAGTCAGGCTGGCCTGGATTTCAAATCCTGAAACTGTTCCTTACTAACTCAGTGACCTTGGGCCAGACTATTCACTTCTCTGGGCCTCAATTTCCTCTCTGATACAATAGAGCTAATACTTCTTATTTTTGTGAAATTACTGTGAGAATTGACAATACTATATGGAAATCCCCTGGCATGTAGGGGGTAGCCTGAATGTTTACGAGCATGGACTCTGGAGTCCAACACATTGGGTTCAAATCCAGACTTGCATAGGTGGTGATGTCCCTAAACCTCAGTTTCACCATCTGTAGAATGGGGGTGGTCATAGTACCTTTCTCATATATTTGCTGTGAAGATTAAGTGAGAGCTGTATATAAAGTAATTAGCATGTAGCGATCATCCTCTAAGGTTAGCCATTACTGTTTTATTATCATTGTTGTTGCTGCCATTACTCTTGGAGTTAAATTTCACAAATGATATTTAGTTTCTGATTGCAAGGAAGAATGATTTGAAGAAAAACTAGCCTGACTTGCATCTTAGATTTCCTCCCCAAATAGGGCCCCCCAATGTTAAGGGCTACACCCCAGGCCTGGGGAAAGTAAAGGTGACAGTTCCTCACAGAATGTAAGACTGGAGCCCATGGCTTCAACCTGTGACCTGCATGTCACTTCGGCACCACCAGGCTTCCGTACAAGGGAGTTCCTGGGGGGCAGGACACTAAATAAAATATCGGCAAAATATTGGCAAAGATGTTTGGGGTGGGGAGATCATCTGGATTGTAATCTCACATGACTCTAACATGCTGTGTGACACTGGAAGGCCACTTAATCTCTCTAAGCCTCAGTTTCCTCATCAATAATATGGGGAGACTATGACTCTCTCTGTCCCTAGAAGTGTTATTAAGAGGCTTTAGTGTCAGAGCTCTGGGAAGCACATAGCATGATACAAACAACGTTATGGAGATATTGTTGGGTCTCCTTTAAAATGTGTTGGTTTCTGTCATGTTGATAAGGGCCCAAAGCAAGCATGCACCAACTGAGGTAGGTATTAAAACTGTCAGAAGATCTCCTTTGAAAAGCCTTTGATTAACAATGGATATAAGAAGTCAGAACACTGCTGTGCAAAGGGAGGGAATGAAGGCCTGCGTTTTTCATTATCTAGTTCAAGTCCCTTTCAGTAGTCCCCGTAAGTCTCCAAATAGAATCTGATTCCTCTTCGCATGAGGAAAAGGGAAGGATTAGACCAAGGTGATGGAAAAGCGATATATTAGCCAAGCAGTATGACAAAATTGCAATTTTTTTTCCCTCTTGCTTCATTCTTGCAGTCTTCCTTTTAGGTTCTGACATAGTCACTCTCGCTCAGGAGTGAGATAAACAGCACAACAAAAAATAACGTAAATTCGATCATCTGGATGGTAATGTTATCTCAGCAAGTCTACGCAAACAAGTGACTCCATTTGACTTGAAACTCATTCTGAGCATGAAAGACTGTTTACTTAGAATTCAAAATGCTTGTTTAATTTTTTTTCTTTTGGTATCCAAAGGAATCATTTTTTTGAATAAGCACAGCCTCTTCTCTGCATTAAATTTGTGAAATAGAAAAGAAAATGTTCCCAGCCAACCACTTTTTCAAAGCTTAAATGATATTTATTTCTAGCCCAACACCACGCTCGAAATTGCGGTACTGATGCCGCATTATCTCCCCGTTGCAATTAGAGGGTGGAGAACTATGACTTTCACATCCGAAACCAATTTCAGAGGGGGATTAAAACCCTGCCTGCTCTGAAATTTGAACATTGAATTAATTACTGCACTGTAGCTTCTCGAGAGGAAGAGCAGGCATCCAACCTCAGCGATGTTGTCACGGGGTTCAGCGCACTCCCCGCGAGGCGCAAAGATTCCAGCTAGGCAGAAGTAGAAAACAGGCAAGATCCTACCAGGGCACCAGGAGGAAAGAGGCATCCTGTAATGTTCAAACTCCAGGATGAGTGTTGGAACAATAGAACTAAGATTAACTTCGTTTGCTCCTATAAGTACAGAATGTCTGCTCTGTGTCAGGAACAGTCTTGGGCAACGGGTATAGAGCGGGAATGAAGCCAGACACGGTCCCTGCCCCCGTCAGTTTTACCATCTACATCAGGGCTCAGCAAGCTTTTCTGCAAAGGCCAGATAAAAAATATTTTCAGCTCATTGTGTAAGCCAAAGATAGCACTGAGAAAGGTCGGGGGTGGTTAAAGAACTTTGAAAATTCAGATGCTGGTTGTACCACTTTCTAGCTCTGAACTTGGACAAGGGGCAACTGCATAGCTTGGACCCTCAGATTCTTCATCTGTAGAGTGGGGCAAATAATATTAACATTATTGTTAATACTATTATCAATTCATGATGTTATATTAGTATAATATAAAATATAATACTAGTAATATTATTAGCAACAATATTAATCTTGCAAAGTTGTTAGGAAAAACTATAGTGTGTATTGCATGTCTAATAATGTACTATATATTAATATACTGATATGCTATAATGCACATCACACACCTGGTACATATAGAAGCTCCAATAAATATAATTGGTGTTACCACTAGTGACAATATTTATGTGCTAATATTATCACTATTAATAATAATAGTGAATAGAGAGCTTCTTCAAAATAACACAGGCCCAGCAGTTAGGAAATGAGAATTCTAGTTTGAACACAAACCTACTGAATGTTTTCTTGCAAGACCCTTGAGGTCCCTGTGCCTCAGTCCCGCAGAACTGAGTTCTAGTCCTAACTCCAGGACCAGCTGCTTAGGTGACCTTGGTCAAATCACCAAACCATATCACAATACGGTAGGCAGTAACAGTGACCCAGTCCACCCACAGGTGGGGAAATCTTAAGTGAGAAAGAGCTTTAGAAAAAATAAGCAATATTTAGGCAGAAGATGTTCTTGCTGGGAAGGAATTGGAAGGTGAACCTCCTCACGAGGTCGTCTTCCCACCAGGCCTCTCGCTCATGGTTCAGTCTTTCTTTCTATTGTCACTTCCTCGGTGACATCCCTTTCTGTTACCACACTACTGCCATTTTCATGTTTCATATGACCTGGTCTGAGCACTACTACTCCCCTCTGACAGATGACAGAATTATGTTCGGAAAAGCTAAGCAGTGTTCCCAAGGTCACACAGCTACTAAGTGACAGAATTGGGGTTTCAAAACCAGCCTTCTCTGTTCTTGACACTATCATACAGTAAGTCCTCACTTAATGTCATCAGTAGGTTCCTAGAAACTGCAACTGCAAGCGAATTGATGTACAGCAGGACCTCAAATAACATCATTTCATCCAATGTTGTTTTGTTATAACGTTGATGAGAAAAAAAAATGGTGGGGTTATACATCATTTTGCTTAAAGTTGCAGTTCCTAAGAGCTTATTGACGTTAAGTGAGGACTGACTGTATACTCACCTTAACAAGTCAGTGGAGCTGCCTTCAGTTCCTGAAGAACATTACTAGTCATGTAGGAGGAGGGGGAGGAGCAGCAGCTACTGCTGGAAGGATGAGAATTACCTCTAATCCTGACACAACCCTGCACATTACAAATGAGGAGACTGATTCTCCAGCCACGTGGGAGCCCCCAGGCAGCCGCTGACGACCGCCTGCACTCGGGGTCTCTCACAAGGCCACGCTCTCTGCCTGCAGTGCTACGTCAACCTGCTCTTCTGGTACCAGTTCTTCTGTGGTTTCTCTGCGTCCACCATGATCGATTACTGGCAGATGATCTTCTTCAATCTCTTCTTCACCTCCTTGCCGCCTCTCGTCTTTGGAATCCTGGACAAAGACATCTCTGCAGAAACCCTCCTGGCATGGCCTGAGCTGTACAAGAGTGGCCAGAACTCTGAGGTAAGAGGCTCAGACAGCCGGAGGGAGGTGGCCTCAGCGTCTCCGTGACCTCTGCCTTGTCCCTGAAGGCAGCAGAGAAAGTGCCCTGGGCCAGGGGTCAGGAGCCTGAATTCTGCCACTGTGCTGCCACTTACCTCTCCTGAGACTTTGAGTAACTCCACTCCCCATTCCTGGCCTGTTTCTCTTTTGGTATTAAGAGTATTGGAGCAGATCGGTGGGTATTTTTCTTTTTAATCATTTCTTTATTATATCACACATTGATATATGGGACAGCCCTAGTTGAAGGGGGAGAGGGCAGGCAGAAAATCCCATGCCTCTTAGCGGGCCCCTTCAGACCCTGAGGAGTACCAAAAGCACCCTGTTTGGGGACCCGTGCAACTGGCAGCTGTAATAGTTTTCTTATCACTGGGTAAGGCACACATAAATGAATGCTTCTGTTCACATGAGGAAAGGCAAAGCTTAGAACTCAAGATTATGTATGGTCTAGAACTGGTTGGTGTCAAGTAGACAAAAGAAGGCCTAAGAAACCATCATGGGGCTTCTGAGAAGGCCCAGAGGGGCCACACTGCAGCCCTGACTAATTTAGAGATGTCAAGGGCAGGTGCTCCAGGCCCAGCAAGGAGGTGGGATGAAGGGACCACGGCCACCTCAAAGGGGGATCACTAGGAAAAGGGACTTCGAAATTCTAGAGAGTATGTTTGCACCTGGGAGAAAGGAGGGCAAAGCCAGATGTGGTGTTTGAGAACAGGCAATTGTTGTGGACAGCCAGCAAGGAAACAAGCCCAGTGGTCACCCAAAGACAGGAGGACAGCGACACAGCAGCCCACGCAGTTCAGACAAAGGAAGCGTGGGGTGGGGGTGGACATGTACATCTTGGGCTCTTCTAACTCCATCCTTCCTATCAGCACGCTGCCTGCGCAACCAACTCCTGGAGTATCTACCATTAAAAGAGGTTAACATACCAAACACCAAAAACTGTAAAGGTTTCACGTCTCCCAGGGAAGGCACAAAGAGCGAAGCATGAAATGAGAAGGCTCATCCCTGAAGCCGTTGAGCTCTGTCTCTTGGGGCCTATGGTCCCGGGCTGTGATTGAAATCTCCCTTTCAGATGCCACTTAGAAACCTTAGAATCTCTCCACTTACCAAGTTTGCAGTAGCACTAGCAATAGAGCTAATGAGTAACTGGTAACTTGCTACATACTAAGGCATGATTGCATTTAGTCCTCTCGAACTCCAAGGAAACAGGCGATGTTATTTTTGTCCACATTTCATGGAAGAAGAAATCAGTTCTCAGAGTAGTTTAGTAATTTTCACAAGGTCACACCGTTAGTGGCGGAGCCGAGACTTGAACTGAGGTCTGTCACCCTCAAGCCTGTGCTCTTAATCGCTGCATTCTATTAAATATTGCCACGAAGATAAGAGGCACTGTAAGTGCCATATCATCTGCCCCAGCCACACAAGAGAAAGCTGCAAAGAAAAGAGGCTTACTTGGATGGGGGTAACTGATGGCGTATTCTTTTCTGGCAGTGCTATAACCCGTCGACTTTCTGGATTTCCATAGCAGATGCGTTCTACCAGAGCCTCGTCTGTTTCTTTATCCCCTACCTGGTAAGTAGTATAGTCCTATGCAAACCATACAAATCGCTGGTAGAACTGGGTCCTATTTATATGAAATTTCAGACTGGTAATGTCTTTCTGGACACTTCAGAACGGAGGCTCCAAATAAGTGCCCTGCAGGCCACATTCAACCCTGGGTGTTTGAAAAGTAGGAACCCTTTACCCAAACATCATAACTGCTGGTGGTTCTTGAAAAACCAAAAGCTATCTTTTCACTGAGTCAGTTTTCCCTCTTGGCAAAAATCTGGAGTAGATTTGTAACCCTGCTCAGATAGGAAGCATGGTCTCCAGTTTGCCAAAGTCCCCACCACTCCCCTTTGTCTTACACCTGGCCGTCTTCATTCATTAACTGTTTCCTACTTGACCACTGCAGGTATTTGAATTTACTGTTCTTGATTTTTACACAGATTTGTGCTTCCAAGGTCAAGGTAGCGAGTGTTCAGGCAGCAAGTTCTGATAATAGGAGATACTATATTATCTGAAATAAATAGCAAGAATGCAGATAGCCCAATCTCAATTTGATTTCCCAGTTTAAATAGAATTTAAATAGCAAAGAATTCCTGCATTCTTCTGGGACAGGGGACCGGGATATGGGGCAATTGCCACCAGGTAAACAGTGGTGCTTACCCAGCCTCTAGGCTCATATTCTTTTGCAATTAGCAACACGACGGGGGTTAGGGAGACAGGCATTTTGTGTTCTGTTTGAATTTCCTGGCTTACAATACCCTCTCTGGCCAGGCCTCTGCCTACCTTTCCTGCCGTATCTTTTGCCCCTCCATATGCTCAATAGACCCATTGCGTAGGACTCTGGAGTTCTACAAACCCACCGTGTCCACCCTCAGTTCCTGTGTGGGAACTACATTTCCCCCTCTTTCAAATGATTAACTCCCCTTATTCTGGTTTCTGCTGATATGTCCTCTTTTCTGTGTTTCCAGGGTACCTCGTACTTGCCTCTGCTATAGCACTTACCCTCTTAAATTGTACATCTGCCCTGCCTAATAGACTGTAATCTCCTTGAAGGTAGACAGAAGTATCCTTAGCAGTTAACACAGTGCCTGGTGGGTGCTTGATAAATTCTTTCTTCATTCATTCCACAGTGGTTTTACAACCCCCATTGTCGCTTCCTCTGACAAACATGTTGCTAAATAATTTAATACCATCAACTCGCTTCTCATCTTGGTCTGTTTCTTGGGTCAGTTTCACATGGATGGGCAGCTGGATACCTTTTTCTCTCCCTGTCCCTTCCCTCCCTTGCCACCTGCCTTCACTGATGCTTTATAATCATTGTGTCAAAGCGAAAGCCTTAAGAACACGGGCACAATAGACAATGCCTGCTTGTTCCCCCTCTGCAGACCTACAAGGACTCTGACATCGATGTCTTTACCTTTGGGACACCGATTAACACCATCTCCCTCACCACAATCCTCTTGCACCAGGCGATGGAAATGAAGACATGGGTAAGGGTCCCAGGGCCCCTGGGGCTTAAAAATTGTATTCCTGGTCATTGGCTACATTTAGATTTCTGAGTTGTTTCACTCTGTATTATTGATACGCTCAGTAAATACACACTGAGCTCATATGTCCCACTGGTACAGGGATGAAAGAGGTAAAAAAGGTAAAATTTCTGGCCTCAACTTGCTTGTCATCTAGCCAGGATGATAAAGCTAACACACATAGAACAATGAGAAAGTTAGTTGCAAAAATAAATAATATTGATAAAAAGTTCAGGAGTGTTTCAGAGACAAGGAAAACATTAGACTGACCATACCTGAGGCTGTGTTACGGAGAATGCTCCCCATTTAATTTCAAAAGACTAGAAGACTGCCTCCAGGTAACCACATCTTCAGCATGTTCAAATATCATATTTGGATATCTAAGACGGCTATGCCAGCTTCTCACTGGATTCTTCTAGTCAATGACAATTACAAAAACAAATAGCTTAATAGCTCAAAGTTTTATGTCAGGTATCTATCTATATGATTTGCATGCATTATCTCATCTAACCTCCCAGATCCCTTTTTATTAATTGTTTTTATATCCGCATTTTACAGATTTAGAAATACAGTAGGTGCAATAAGACTAAAAATCTTGCCCCACGAAGTTCAAGATAGAAGCAAGTTTTGAACCCTGGCAATCTGGCCCTTGAGTTTTTAAACACTATGCTAATAGTGTGAGGAGAAAAGATTGAATAGTACAGGAAAACCACTTTGCAGAAATATTTGTCCTTAGCCAAGCTGAAATGGCTCACGCATTAAAAGCACATGTATTAAAAGTACATGTATTAAAAATTTGGAAAATTGCCCCAAGGAGGCTCAACATGTTCCCACATTCTGCAATGGAACTCCCCCTGACCCCCACGTCCCACCACCATGCCAAGCTTAACCAGGCCCTGAACAGCTGGGCAGTAGCGGATAGCAGAGCCACTCAAGGGAACTTCTGGATCACAGAGTTCCCATTTTGAAAACCCCCTCTGCTCCAGTGTGTGCCAACGACAGATAGAGCAAAGTGATAAAACCAAGAAGGCGTAGCCAAGCTTAAGTACAGGATAAATTTCTTCACAGGCTACTGACACCAAAAGAGGCTGCAATGTGACAAAGAGAGGGGTTACTGAGCCAGCTCAAACTGCAGGTTTTTCTGGGAGCCAGGACAGGACACAGACCATGGCAGTGAGAAGTCTGGCTCCTGCAAAGTGGGGGACACTGGAGCCCCATTTATTGCCAGGTCCAAGTTCCCCACTCAAGAAAGAAAGCTAAAGAAAAGATGACAATGATAAGCTGTTTGGAATTATAGTTTTATCAGAAGCTGTAAACAAGGGAGGCAAGAATCAGAAACATAACTTTGATCCTGGAAGTTTCACCAAGCCAAGGAAACATTTAAACTCTGGAAAATGAAAAATTATCATTGAAATTAAAAATGCAATCTGTGGGATCCACTCTAGAGCAGACACTGGCAAAAAGTAAACTGCCGAATTGGAGGGGAGGATTGGGAACTCATCCAGAATGACAGACAAATATGAAAAAGTAAGAGGAGTGGTGGCTAGAATACATCCACATAGTAGCATCTACATAATAGGAGCATCTACATAATAGGAGCCATAGGAGAGAAAAAAGGAAAGAATGATGGAGAAGAAATATTCAAAGAAATAGTCATAGAGAGTGAAAATTTATGAAAATAAATCTGGAAGTATTGCCTAGATATATCATAATGAAACTATACAATCTAAAAGACAGCAAGACAATTTTTAAGTCTACCAGAGACTATGGACAAATTACTTGAAAAGGAACAACAGTTATGCTGACTATCAAACAATAGAAGGCAGAAAACAATGGAGTAATTATCTTCAAAGATCTGAAGGAAAAAAATTGGAACGGCCACACTATCGTTTAAGAGTAGGTCAAAATAAATTCTATTTTCAGATACACGAACACTTTAAAGTTTATCATTCATAGGCCCTACTAAATATTGTACTTTTTCAAGAACATAAAAGCTAAAACTATAAGAAACAACCCGCTGGGGAAGAAAAGCTATTGAATAGGTAACTTATACTAAAGCCTTCATCATGGAAAGGGAGGTGAATAGAAATACACATTTAACTACACATTTTTCCATAAAAGTCCACATTTATTTATATCTTGAGAACTTCAGGTTCACCACTACAAAAGTGGAAAGAAAAAAAGAAGTATAGAAAACTATCAATTCTGCAGAATGTAGGAAAGATAACAAGGGGGATAAAAACAAAGAAAATGATGGTGAACAAAAAATGTAAATGAGATGTTCAAATAAATCCAAATATATCAGTATTCATAATAAATGTAAATGGATTAACTTCTCCCTTTGAAAACAAAAATTACCAGATTGAACAGTTTTCATCCAGCAAATTAAGAAAAAATGGACAAATTCACAATCATAGTGTGAGATTTGTATACAATTCTATCAGAAACTGACATAGATCAAATAGAAAAAAATAGAAAGGATATAAAACCTTTGAATAAAGTGTCACATTTGATCTAATATATAAAGCTCTGCTCCAAACAAATAGTAAGCATACATTTTTAAAAGCAAACACAGACCATTTACCAAAAAGAAAAGACCAAATTCTGAATCACATAGGAATTGGAAAAAATAAAATCATAAATACCATGTTCTCTGACAACTAAGCATTTGAATTAGAAACAAGCAATAAACAGGTAACCAAACAAAACCTACCATGCTTGAAAATTTCAAAATGTACTTCTAAATAACTCATAAGGTAAAGAGTAAATCATGATGAAAATTATAAATACCTCTTGCTGAATGACCACAAAAATACTACATATGCAAACTTGAGGGATGCAGATAAAGCTTTTACTATCAATATTTTTTAAAAGATAAAAAATAGACAAGTTAAGAACTCAACTCAAGTAACTTAAAAAATTACCACATAAACCTAAAGACAATAGAAGGATAAAAAGATGAAAAAAAAATCAAGGAAACAATGGAAATGATCAGTAAGACCAAAAGTAAGCTCCTCAAAAACCCAATGAAAACTAATCCCTAGCAAAACTGACCCAGGAGAAGATACAAAAAGAGAAGACGCAAAAGCAGTATTAGAAATGGAAAACACTATAATTGTAGATATAATCAATTCTTTATTAAAAATTCTTTTAGAAAATTTAAACCAAGTTTATAATTTCTTCCAATGTAAAATTTACCGAAACACAGTCAAGGTCACTCAGCAAACCTGAATAAGCCAAATCCTGTCCCCAAAAAATCAGACTCAAAGGATTATAGAGGTTTGACCAAACTTATACAGGACGAACAATCTCTGTCTTATACCAATTTGTTCATGGAATAGAAAAATAGAAAAGGATAAGTATCTTAGTCCATTTATGCTGCTATAACAAAATATCTGAGACTGGGTAATTTATAAAGAATAAAAATTTATTTCTCATAGTTCTAGTGGGCAGTAAGTCCAAGATCAGGTGCTGGTAGGTTCAGTGTCTGATGAGGGTGGCTCTCTGCTTCCAAGATGGTATCTTCTTGCTGCATCCTCTGCAGGGGCAGGGGGACAAATGGGATGAAAGCTATGTCCACACGTGGTGGAAGGGCAAAAAAGCACTAGGAGGCTTCCTTCAACTTCTTTATAAGAGCACTAATTCATTGATGAAGGCAAAGCCCTCGTGATTTAATCACTTCTTGAAAGGCCCCACCTCTTAACGCTATCACATTGGGTATTAGGTTCCAACATATGAGTTTTGGAGGGGCACATGCATTCAAACCATAGCAATAAGCAATTCATTTTCCATGGCTAGAATAACGCTGATACCAAAATGGGCATGGACAGTTCAAGGAAAGAAAATTACATACCAATCTCACTAATTAACATAGATATAAAATCCTAAATAAAATATTGGCAAATCCTCTTAGCAGTGTGTGAAAGACAATAAAGCACAACCAAGGAACCTTCATATCCCATTAGTAGGCCATATACTGATACCACCACTCTGAAGAGCAACTTGGAAATAGCTAGAGGAGTTTAAGGTACTCATATATTATAAGACAATTCTACTTCTGCATATGCAGAAATACCCTTGCATGTGTATATAAGGAGACATGTACAAGAATGTTTGTTACAGCATTGCTCTTACTAGAAAAAAATTAGAAAGAGCCTAAATGTTTCATCAACTGGAAAATAAATAAATTTTGGCATGTTTATACAATAGAAAGGTTAAAATGAATAAACTAGAGCTATATCTTTCAACTTAAAGAAAATCTCATAATATCAAGTGGGAAAAGCTGCGGAAATGTCTTAGTCTGCTTGGGCTGTCATTACAAATAGACTGGGTGGCTTAAACAACAGAAATATTTTCTCCTAGTTCTGGAGGCTGGAAATCCAAGATCAGTGTGTAGCTGATTCAGTGTCTGGTGAGGGTCCTCTTCCTTCCTAGACAGCTACCTTCTATCTGTATTCTCACATGGCTGAGAGAGAAACATCATCTCATGTCTCTTCTTATAAAAGCACTAATCCCATTCATGAGGGCTTCACTTCCATGACTTAACCACCTCCAAAAGGCCTCACATCCAAATACTATCGCATTGGAGATTAGGGCTTCAACATATGAATCTGAGGCTGAGGAAGACAGAAATATTCAATTCGTAGCAAGAAGAATGCGTATATAAGATAAAGTTTAAAAATACCCATAAACATGGATACATAAACATATACAAATGTATGAAACATGCATAAGAATGATAAACACTGAATTTGTGTTCAAGATTAAAGAGGGGTCATTTGCAAGAGATGTATGGGTGCTTCAATCATGAAACTTAATCTTTTCATAAAATCTGAGGCAAATATGGTATAAGGTTAAAATCGATGAAGTTGGATGTTAGGTGTATGAGGTTTATTGTCTATATGCTTAAATATTTCATTGTAATTTAGTTACATTTTTAAACTAACCCAAGATATTTCTCAAAAGGAACTCTGGTCTCTATGACCCTCTTTGTTGCTAGATTTTTTTACACACCTGTGCTGTCAGATTTTTTTTTTTTTAACTTTCAAAATGCCTTACAAAGTTTAATCTGGCCTCAATTGTATATTAAATGGGTGGTGACATTAAAGATTCTCATCTTCTCTGATTGGTCACTCGGCCATCTTTCTCAAAGCACTGCACTCATCTGCTTTGGAAAAAGAAAAATATTCTTTTAGCATTATTAATCCACCTAATGCACTTCTAGACTAGGTATCCCCATAGTTACCAGTGATTTCTGGTGCTCTTAGGAAAGGACTCAGCTACTAAAATCATTATGAAAAATTTATTTCCTTTTTGAAAGTACTTAAAGCAGGAAAAGAGTCTATTTCTTCCCTGGATAGAAATATAAAACAAATTTTAAGAGCTGGGTCAATTTTCATAATCCCACCAAAGTGATTGAAAGGGTTAGCTAACTGCTTTCTTCTTCAGGAACAGGGGCTGGGTTATTCAGATCACCTCTCCCACTGAAAACACTAAAAATACTGGATAATATTTAAAAAAAAAAAAAACTCCTTAAAAGCATGAACAAGCTGACAAGATAGTAATGACCAAACCTCAGGGAGAGGGGGATTCTGGAGAAGCAAGCTGAAATAATACCTCTGTTTTCTTGAGGGTATTTTCAACCCTGCCCAAAAAGAACTTTGTTTTTGGCAGACTTAATTGAGTAAAAGTTCAGATATCAAAAGTCAGGCTTCCAGGGTAGGAGTCTACTAAGAGACCACATTAAATTAGGATCCGAAAGGCTATACCAGGGTAAGGATATACCCTAAAGTGCACCCATATGTCAGCCCCACCCATCACCTCTCCTTAGCAGAGACCGTAGGGATTTTCCCTCTCTGCTAAACAGAGCAGAGAGAACATAAAGGACCTGCCCTGGGAAATTATGGCCGTGGCTGGCCTCACATAGATTTGTAGCCCAGATTCATATGACCTGGGTGAGCCAAATTTTGACCTATGAATTCAGTTGAGTGACTCAAGACTGGCAGTGCCTAAAAGCATTGCAAAACACATATATACCCTTTCTGGACAAAGTCATCTTTATCCTAAGCCTCAAATTGTTTCTATTTATTTTTCAAGGACAATAAGCATCACATATTCAAAAGTAATGAAGCTCACAAGGAAACAAGAAGCCATGAGCGAGGATCATAGATATCAGAAACAAATACTTCAGATACTGAAATTATCAGATATAAATTATAGAAAAGCTATGTTTACTATGTCTAAAGAAATAAAGAATAAGTTTTAAAATATCTGCAGGAATTGGTAAACTACACAAAGCAACCTAACAGATTTGAAAAGAGACCAAATTGAACATTTGGAAATTAGAACTACTATAACTATAACTTAAGTTTTGATGGTTGGCTTAATAGGAGATTAGACACAGCTAAGGGGAGAATTGGTGAATTGGTCAAAAGAAATTATTCAGAATATAAAACAGAGGGAAAAAATATAAATTATAGAAGTGGTATTAAGAAACATAGAAGATAGAATAGAATCTGAAAAGGTCTAGGAAACACTTTGTCAGCATCTCAGAAAGAAAAGAGAATAAAACAGAGACAATATTTGAAAAGTTTACAATGAGAATTTTGCAAAAGTGAAGATTCAAGGTCTGCAAAACCCAAGAAAAATAAATAAAAAGAAGCCCACACTTATTCTATCATATGGAAATTATAGAACAAAAAAAGGCAAAATAAAAGATATAAAAACAGGCAGATTTTAAGACATAAAGATTTCCTTATAAGGAACACCTGTTAAAGAGATTGTTGACATCTCAGTAGCAACAATGGAAGACAGAAGACGGTAGAATGCTATCTTAAATATGCTGACAGAATAACTACCAAACAAGAATTCTATATTCATCAAAATATCTTTCAAGAATGAGGATGAGATAAATCATTAGAGAGTATATCACCATCATACTCCCATGAAGGGAAATTTTAAAGGATGTTCTTAAAACAAAAGGAAAGATATCTCACATGAAGATCTAAGATGCAAGAAGGAATGAAGGCGTGGAAAGTGATAAACATGTAAGTAGATCTTAGTGAAAACTCACCATATTAAACAATTATTAATAGATCAATCACTCGGGTGATTTTAAAAGATGATATAATTAAAATAAACAGCATCAATAGCATATAAGTCAGGAGTGCGATAAAGAGAGTTAAAGTGCTCTAAAACTCTTGTGTTATTCAGGAGGAGGGAAAACTAGTTGCGAACTTTAAACTGTAGTAAATTAAGATTGCTTGTTATCATTTATTGAAACATTATTGAAAGAAATAGAAATGGAGTATATAATTTCCAAACTAGTAAAGAGGGAAAACAAAATTAAATAAAATAGTCAATATTTTTAAATGAACAGTAGGGTGATTTAATTAACATTAGTCAATCGTACATTTCAAAATAGCTAGAACAGAATAACTGAATCTTCCAATCATAAAGAAAAAAATATTTAAGTTGATGGATATCCCAATTACCCTTATTTGATTACATGAATGTATCAAATTCTCACATGTACTCCCACAATAGGTACATCTAATATGCATCAATTTTAAAAACAAAATTTTAAAAAAAAATAAAAATAAAAGAACAAGAATGGAAAAAGAGAAGCACAAAACAAGCAGGACAAAATGTGATCAGACAATAGAACACTGAGCTGCTTTGAAAATGAATAAACTTACCACCACATATGGAAAAAATGGACTCAGCACACAAACATAATATTGAGGGGGAAAAATGTGATTCTATTTATCCAATATTTAAAAACAGGTTATATAGGGAAACCTAGATAGGTGGTAAAACTGCAAAGGATTGCATGGAAATTATCACCAAAGTCAGGAGTGAGGCAGAAGATTTAGGGGTCTTGGGGATATGCATGTTCAGATTCTTAGTGGCGGCAATGTGGGTGTTTGTTTTATAATGATCCATTAAACTATGTACTTTTTTCAATTTTTAAAACAGGTGTTGCATTTTTAAAAAGTTTAAAACAGTGTTAGCCAAGAAGCATGGTTGCACTGCACCCTAAGCTGTACCTTCAGCAGTGTCTACTTCTTCTTTCCCTCCACAGACCGTCATCCACATGCTAGTCCTCCTAGGCAGCTTCCTGATGTACTTTGTGGTATCCCTACTGTACAACGCCACCTGCATCATCTGCAACAGCCCCGCCAATCCCTACTGGGTGATGGAAGACCAGCTCTCAGACCCCACTTTCTACCTCGTCTGCTTCCTCACACCAGTCGTGGCTCTTCTCCCAAGGTTTGTGCACTGGGGCTGTTTCATCCCTGGTATTACCTCCTTAATAAGCTATTTTCATAACCCAAGAGTCATGAGTTTGATTTCTGCTAGGATCCTTCAGGCTATTGTTCTAGAGAGAGCGTCCTAGGACAGAAAGAACAATGAACCAGGAGGCAAATAACATGGACTCTGGTCTCAAGTCAGCCACAGAGTAGCAGTCACCAAATCTGGTGTGGCCTCAGTGGTAACTTCTGTAAAATGGGAGTAATAATTCCTACCCTCTTTCCTTAAAAATGCTATTATGTGATAAGGAATCATTTTGAAAAGCTCTCTGGGTCCTTCATGTATTAGCTTAAGCATTTCCCACTCAAATGCCTGCAGGGATCGGCATGCAACCGCAGCAAGCCAGAAGAAGTGCAGATATTGGAAGAAAGATTTAAATATTACTCAAATTTGTTTAAATACACACAGCCCATACAAAATCTGCATTAGTCAAATAAATCATCCATGCCCACAGACTATTTCTGCCATTTCCAGGGTAAAACCTCTGTATTCACCTTTTCCAGAAAAATAGCAACAGCAACAACAATGCCTTGCCTTGCCTTGGAGCTTGCTCTGAACATATGCTCTCCTTTCTAGCCCCTCATTTTGCTTTTGTCATCAGCTAACAGTTGGGCAGAGCAATGGTTCTAGTCCCACTTGCTCATGGGACAGCTCAAGGCCCAAGAGGGACCACAATGTGTCCCTAAGCCCACCACAACTCAGAGGCCATTTCTATTCTGCAGACCACACTCTCCCATCAAAGCCATCAGTGAACTTGACAATGATGAGCCCATAGGCGAGACTTGGCCTGTCTTCATCTCCAGACTCTCACCACTCTGAGCATCGCGATTGAGCCACTTTGTCATTCTCAGCTATAGTCAACAGGCAATTGTAACATTGTACAGAACTTTTTCTATCCCCAAATTAGGCAGAGACCATCAACAGGTCTTGCTTCCTTTAATAAGTTTAGTGGCTTGCTTAACCTAGTTTGGTCTCCATTTTTCTTAAGCCACTTCAGAATCTCGACCTCCAATGCAGGGTTGGAGGCTGAAAATATGAAGACAGCAAATACCATCGCAGTCAGTGAACTCCGTAAGCGTTGGCTGAGTTCTAAGTATTTGCTGTGTGCACAACCTCCCTGCTCAGCCCCTGATGGTCTCCTTGCTTCAAATTTTGGGCTTCATGCCACCAAACTACTTAAACTTCCTTAAAGGCCCCAGGGCCTCTCACCTCCCTGCCTTTGCTCACACTATTCCTTCTATTTGGAATTCCCTTCCCATCACCAAACCTCGCCCTTTGACATCATGTCAGGCACGACCAATTCCAAAAGCTCTGCAACTTCCTCGAGCTGAAACACATCCCTCTCTCATATGTCCCCATCATATGCGTGTATCTCTGTCCCTACCTCTTTCCCATTTATTACAAATTATTTATATCTCCTCTGTCTGACCATCACCTCCTGGAGAGAAGGTGTCTCCTTATCTTTATTTAACCTTCACTTGGCACAGCTCCTGTGACGTAATCTGCACCCAGAGAGGAATGAGCAATAGATGCCAAAGGAACAAAAAGATGAATAAAACAGGGCCCTGGCTGTTAATAGCCTTCTCTCCGGTGGATGATTTGGATGTAAGTCTGACCATGACACAGGCAAAAGTGACTGGTATTAACAGAGGCTCTGAGGGTAGAAAGTGGGACACAATCAACAACAAGCTCAAGTCCCCCCACCCACCCCAACACCCCCTTCTTCAGCCCAATCCCTGGGGGGAGAAGAACCTAGGAGGGGCCGTGAGCATCATGCCCTCATTAGAAGGGGCATCACACATGTAGGTTAAATGTTTTGTCCCCACCTTTAAGGTTAAAAGCAGTTGTGATCACCACCGGCCAAGTGTGAGCTCCTCTATTCTGTACCTTATCTGGGGTATGGAAAGAGAAATTCATAAGCCCCACATTCTCTGTCTCTGCCATGACTAGAAAACATACCTGGAGCCAGAGTCTACAAGGATGAAGCAGGAGTTTGATGAGAGGCCTTAAAAATTAAGCAAAGACAGTTGGCACATGTGTTTTGGGAAGACAAGCACTCCACCTTGCAGCTTGTTAAACTGATGAGGAGCAAGTTAGGAAAAAGTTAGCAAATATTTACTTGCTATAACACATAAGTTAAATCTTTGCTTATTCTATAGTATCATAATATAGCTGAATTTCTATTTACTTCTGTTTACTAAGAAAGGCAAAGAGATTTCCTCTGATAGTGAAAGGATTATTCTAATAGTTCTAAAGATTGCTGGCTTATAACCTTGGAAAATGACTGTTTGTTTACAGAAGACTACATGATAGAATGTTTGCTGTAGAAAACTGTCTGTGCTCACTGAAAGTTGTAAGCGATATTTATCATAATGGAGATTGATTTTATTCATCAAGTGATAATTATCCCACTAACCATGACCTCACCAATCTTGGTCTAATTAATTCAACCAGTATGAAAGGACAGAGGAAACGCTCTTAAACTAGAAATATAGATTCATGTAAACTATTTTATAGATAAAACAAAAGTAACTAGTGTACTAACCTTAAAACCCAATGCAGCTTCTTAATTAGATATAATAGAGAGTAACAGTCCTTGGATACTCCTATCTTGGCTTTGGTGACTCAACACACTCTTGGTTTTTCTCCTCCTTCTTCTACTTTATTTCCTTTGCTGACTCATGTCCTTGGCATGGTGTAGGTCAATCCTCTGTCCTAGGTTTTCTTGTCTTCTAACTTTATGTTTTCCCCATAAACACGGCAATCACTACTATAGATTTAAAAATCATTTTTAACAGATGAATCTCCCCATAAATTCTTAGCCCAGACCTCTCTTCTGAATTCCAGACACATCTTTCCAGCTACCTATTCATCACCACTACTGGGCATATTTTATTTATTTATTTTTTTTATTTCACCACTGGGCATATTAAGTCTGAAGAAACTGGAAGACACCTATAATTTTTCATGACTCCACCCTCTCTCACCACCACTATCCCGGAAACCTGAGTCTCTTCCAGAGTTTCCTACAGCAGATGCCACCCATTCAGGACCAAAGCAGGACCCTGGGAGTTATCCTTGACATCACCTGCTAACTCAGGCCCATATCTAGCCCGTCACCAAGTCCTGACAGTTCTACCTGCTATGTATTTCTCAAATTCATCTGTTATTTCCATTTCCACAGCCACCACCCCGGGTACACTATCAAATACCCTTTCACCCAATTACATGAGTAGTCTCCCATGGGGTCTTACTCTAGTGCATTATCATTGTATCAAAGTGCAATTATGTCACCTATTTATAACTCTATAAGGGCTTCCCTAAGACCTTTTCGATAAAGCATGAAAACCAAAACCCGGCCCACAGTTCTTGCCAACCCCTCTGGGTCCTATTTCCCTGCTCTAGTCCTTAATCGCCACACTTTGGTCATTGTTTCTGGGTTTTGGCTCTCACCCCCTTTGTCTGGCTACCTCCTGTATTTCTTCCTTAAGGAAGGTCTTCCAGACGGGATCAGGTGTTTGACACTGTCATTGCTCACTCCATTTATAACTGTATTCACATGTTACATGAGAGCAAGAGCCTACTCTTACCTCCTTGGGGCCTGGCCCATTGTGGGGACTTGAGAAGTATTTGTTGAATAAATGGGTGGAAGAGGAAGGTGGAGGCTTGGAGGAAAGGTTTACACTAAGGAAATTCCAATTTCCAGGCAAGAAGTCAAATCTTCCCTGGAACACATACGTGGCCCCGACTACCTCACTGGGTGAGATGTGAAAGAATGGAGAAAATCTTATCTGATGCCTCGGGATCTATTGTAGTCTTCAGAAACCTCTTGCCCACTGTGGGGTCACCCTGCAGCTTTTAGATATTGTGGGAGAATGGGAGCCTCTCTGCTTATAAAGCTTTAAAAACAAAAATTTTAAAGAGACTGTTTTTGGAAATGACCTTAGATGTCCTCTGGGCTAAATGGATTACTTTTTAGATAAAGCCACTGACACACAGAGAGCGGGGTAGTTGCCCAGTGTCACAAACTGCTGTATGCTTTCCTCATAGACTACATAGTTTTATTCACCTTCTCACCCCTCCCCTGACTACACGTTGAACAGAGAGAAGATTCTAGGCACAGATAGAGACTCCCAATTCCAGAGTCTACTACAGGATTCATGCAGCTTGACAGAGGGACAAAAACCCCGGGCCAGTCAATAGGGATCTCTCTTAACTTCTCAGAGACCTCTAGAATCCCACCTCACCACTTGGGACCTCAGTCTCTTTATCTAGAAAATAGTGATAATACTATGACCTGTCAAGTCAGCATGGGCTACAGATTCAAGAAAAGAATATGCACTTTAAAACTACTTAAAAATTACTAAGCCTTTCCACAAAGGCTTAACATTACAAAGCAATTGAATTTGCCTAAATTCGAATAGCCCAAAAATAGAATGGACTGCATTGGGCATGGTAGATAAGAGACAAGCCTCTGGGTCTAGAGAGCTTGTTCCTGACCATAGCTTGACCACTGTGTGGCTCTGGACAAACCATTAAATCTCTTAGTGCCTCAGTTTCCTCATCTGTACACAAAGGGAAACTAAAATACTAACCACATGGGATGGTCCAGAAAATAAAATGAGTTAATGATATGTAAAGCACTTAGAATAGTCCTGATACATAATAACTGTTGTTACATTTTGTTGTTGTTGTTGTTGTTGTCATTGAGCTCCTCAACACTAGAAGTGCCTGGGCATAGATTTGATAACCATCAATTAGTGCAGTAAAGGAACGTGCCCTGGGCAGGGAGTTGAATTCTAAGACCACTTTCAATACTGAAATTTAAAAAGTCAACAGGAATCAGGAATTATCTATCTTTTGTTATTTCCCATCAGGTACTTTTTGCTGTCTCTCCAAGGGACCTATGGGAAGTCTCTTATGTCAAAAGCTCAGAAAATTGACCGACTCCCCATGGATAAAAGAGACCTAGAAATCCAGAGTTGGAGAAGCAGACGGAGGCCCGCCCCTGTCCCTGGTGGGCCCACCCACCATCCAGCGCCACCTGGCCCAGAACAGGCCTTCAGAGCCAGCACCCCAAAGAGCTCCAGCTCTCCCAAGCAGCAGCACATGGAGGACTGCGTGTTCCATGGGCAGAGAGGCAGCAGAGAGAACATGAAAGATGACCCATGCTCAAGGGACTCCTCTGCTAAAGGCGAACACCTTCTGGGGCCTAACAGGACAATGGCACCAGGAGCCTACCCAAGTGGACAGACCAACATGTCCCGGCGCTCAAAGAATGGCAACCATCGCCGATCCCAGAGTTCTCTGACCATATGAGGGGGCTGCAGAAATCTGAAAACTCAGCAAAAGCTACCCAATCATGGGCCCAGGTAATCCTTGACCCTTCCTCTTTATAGAGGAAAGAATGTGCCAGTCTTAATCTTTTCTCCCCACCAGGCTTGACTTCATTGGAGGAAGTACTGGCCCCTAGGGCTTTGACACAAAAAGACTGGAAAACCTGTCGGTCTCTAGTCTTCTGCTGCTTCCAAGCAGCCCATCTTGTAAACAACAGTTTGTATGAGGAGACTATGTTTCTGTTTCATTGAGTTATCATATGTTTTAGCACAGAGACATTCTGCTGACCCTCCAGATGAGTAAAGCTTATGACCCAATGCAACTGGACCATGAGTTTCCAAGGTCCTAAGAAGTGTATCAACCCAGGCGATATCTCAGGATATGGAAGTTACTGGGCTCATCAAACCGTCACTTCACCCCTTGATGCCAACAGTTAAAGTTTCAGAAGAGACCCACTCATACAAGGGCTTCATCTAAAGTGTATGCTGTGATGGCCAAGTCAGTGTTAACATCCCTTCCACTCACAGAGAGTTGGGTCTTCTTTTTGTCTCTAAGCCAAAGCAAAACTATATCTAAAGATGAAAAGTGGATTTGAACTCAGTGTCACAGACACTTCCGAGGCTTGTAGAGTCACTGCTAGTGTAAGAGGCAAGAAGAATAGACGTGCTGAAGGGAACAGGTGCACCAGATACCCCAGTTTTAGCTAATAGACCGTATGTCTCACCATCTGGGAAATCTGCCAAGAGGACATAGGCAGCACTCTTTTTTAAATCTATTTATTGTATTTATTTTTAAATAAAATTACCCATCCTCATTCAGTTCTTAGAATTTAAAAACCTCTAAGATCAGGAGATCTTAGCACATCTGCGCCCAGAATAGGCCCGTATGATGGAGCAACTCCGAGCTCAGACAATGACATCTTCAAGGGTAGGGCTAGCTTTAAACCCCATTCATTCAGCTTATCCCAGAACACCAACTCCTGGAAGACGCTGGCACATGCTTCAGTTAAATTAAGGAGAGTCAGAGTTTCACTTCACAGGGAGAGAAAGATTACATAGACTTCTTATCCTAGAGGTCATAAATGCCAAAAATGTAAAAGAGTTCAAAACAGTCTTTAAAGAAAAGAATGGACAATAGAATTCTAATGGGCTGTCCAGAGAAACCAAGTCTCCTGTGGGCAGGAAGAGCCTGTCCCTCGTCTTTTACGATAAGTCAGGGAGGGTTACTGAGCCCTCCTTGTTTAATGTAGAGCTTATAAGGCAAAAGGAAAAGGGATGGATACAAGTGTGGCAGGTCTTTGAGCCCAAGAGTCATACCCACCAGCCACGAGTTGGCCAATCACTTGGGTAACTCCTCAGCAAAGGTGCCAAAAACCAGTCAACAATCCAGTTGGCAAATGACAGACTGGGCTGGCCCTCTGACCGTCTTCCTGGCAAACCTGGACTGGAGGGGCTATTTGGAGCATCATCCTGGAGCCAGTGCGCTTGCTCTCTCTCACTGCCTCTGCCATGCAGTGATGCCAGCACCAGCCGGCTGGTGGGTGTTCAGGGGAATCCCACGTGAAGGTTGCCAAGGGAGGCACAGGGAAAACCACCAGGCAAAGCAGGGACGATATGAATTGTTCCAAGTGAGGAGACTGAGTCAAATCTTGGATCTTAGGGCCCCCCTTTCCCCAGACGATTCCTGCCTATTACCAAAAGCCAGTAAGAGCCAGGTAGGATGCTTCAGAAAAGAACAGAACAGCAGCCACAGGAGACCTGAATTTGCGCCTTTGCTCTGCCTCTGTTCTCTCTAGGATCCAGGATCCCGCACCCCCGAATTAGGTTAGAACTGCCCTACCTCCCAGGCTTGGCATAAGAATCAAGTCAAAATTACATGAAACCCAGTGGTGAAAACCCTTTGAAAGCTGTAACATCCTCAGTAATAACACAAGGGATTTTTATTTCAGAGTTAAGAGAGAGAAAGAGGTGATGGGAAAGTTGAAAAAAATGTCTGATCCCTCTTCCTAAATTCCAAACTACCCAAAATTCTGATGCTGCTCTTTTTCTTACATGACCAACCATCCCAGTTTCCTGGGACTTGCTCACTTTTACAAAGTTCCACATCCTGGGAAATTGGGTCAACTGGTACAACTGGTCACCAACTCTTGCCCCTCTTTGTAAATCAACTGTGACCATCCAATGCACCATCTTAGGGGGGGAAGTTATAATTATTTCCCTATAACATAATGCTAATGATTATACTTAGAACATTTTTATACTTTTATGATATTTTACTGATTGGAAATAAGTCATCCTTTATTAAAGAAATAAAATAAACATGGTTTTTCATAGTTGCTTTCCAAACTAAAGTTCTTATTATTTTCTTATATCATTATCACTTTTTCTGAATATGCTCTCATCTGCTCATCTTCCTTTGCGTTCATTTATTCTTCCATCCATTTATCTATTCAATAAACTTCCATTGAGCCCTACTAGATGTTTGGCAATGTGCTAGGAGCTGTGAGGAGCTCCATCCCTGTCTTACAGGGGCTCATAGCCTTGTTGGACAGCTCGCCCCCATGACAGAGTATCAGGAACACACTTGATCCAATGTCAGAGTGTGACACAAACCAAAAGGACTGTAAGAATCAGAAGCAGCACACACACTCTGAAACTCTAACCCAGCTACTCCCCCTTCCTGGGAGCCTGGCTCTAACCCCAAACCCGGAGAGATTCAGATGCCTGTTTCTTGTGCTCATTCAGTCAGCATCAGTTGAGTGTGTGCTGTCCCCAGCATGGTGGTAGGCAGCAAGGATGAGATAGGGAACAAAAACAGACCAGCTCCTGCCGTCTAAGAATTCACAATCTACAAGGGGAGACAGACAATATTCAGGGAAGCCAGTAAATGTGGTATTACTCACTAGGAGAGGAAGCAAGAATGGAAAGAGGGAAGAGAGTGGTTTCCAGGATGGTCAGAGAAGACCTCTCCAGGAAGGAGACACTTCAGCTGAGAACTCAACCATGAAAACAAGACGGCAAAGAAAGGCCATTCCAGGGAATTAAGCACAAAAGCCCTGAAGAAGGAAAAGAGTTTATATTCAAGGAAAAGAGATATGGCTAAATAGTGTGGCTATAACCCAATAAGCAATAGGAAGTGCCTCATGATCATATTAGTAGTAATAACCTATTAACTCACTGTGCACTAGGTTATTATTATCATGTAAAGTTCACAGCAACCTTACAAGGTAAGGACTGTTACTCTGCCCTATTTTAGTTAGCTTCTGCTGTGTAACAAACTACCCCCCAAACCTGGTAGATTAATACAGCAATCATTTCTGTGCTCATAATGCTATGTGTGGGCAACCTGGGCTAGGCTCCACAGGGACATCTCATCTCTACTCCACATGATGTCAGCTACACTTGCTTCTGTATGGGGCCTTGGCCAGGATGGCTGGGATCTCTCTCCACATGGTCTCTCATTCTCAGGGGAGCCAGCCTGGCCCTGTCACATGGCAGCAACATTCTGGGAGTGAGAACAGGAGCTGCAAAGCCTCTTGAGACCTAAGCTCAGAACTCACGTGTCATCACTGCTCACCACATTCTATGGAAGCAAGTCACAAGGCCAGCCCAGTTTCAAGGGTGTGGGAAAATACATTCTGCCTTTTAATGAGAGGAACTGTAAATAAATTTGAGGCCATTTGCAAATTCCTCATTTAGAAAGGGAGACATCACAGTCACTGTGAACTGAACTTCCAAAGCTCTTTGCACATCACTGTGGAACCCAATACAGACTTCTTTCTAGTTACTAGTTTCCAGTTTCTAGTGGGGTTTTTTTAATCACTTCTGCTGGGATGACAAAGCCTGAAGTCACAGGCCATGAATGATTCAACTTTAAGTCTTCCCAAGGCTAGCACCATGCCTTGGCCAATGATAGTAGAAGACGAGCTTAGAAGGGTGTTCTCTCATCTGGTCCTGACCACCAGCCCAGGAGGCAGAAGTGCAGAAAGACTTTTCTCTTGGCTTTCTGCACACCAGGAGGTCTCTGTCTCAGTCTCCCCTTCTTCTTTTCTCCATAAGCAAAAACCAGACAATGATGCAGTGATCAAAGTTCCAAGGAAATCGATGCTTCTTGTCTGGTAGGCGTGGCTCGGGCAGCTGCATAAACTGTCCAGCGTCCTTCTCTCCCAGCTTCTCTATAGCTGGCTACTCCCTCCAAACACAGATACAGAGCTGGGAGAAGGATTGGCGCCCTGGAAGACATGTTGACATTGGCCCAGCTCTCATCATGGCTTCAACAGCCTGAGCCGTGCCTAGTGGACAAACCAAACCAGAGGCACATTAATTTCTGCCCCAGCTGGTGTCCATGATGGGCCAGCTCACACTGGCTTACTCCAAGGGGCCCTGCCTGAACCATGATGCCAGAGGAATACACTCTGCCCTGACTCTCTTCTTATTTTTAATTAGAAGTTCCCATTAAAACCACTACAGCAATGAGGCACACACCAGGCAGCATACTTCAGGACGATTAGCACACTCCTTAGGCGGCTAAAATGGCCTGGCCCTGGCCCGGGGCTGACATAATTGCACCAAAACATACAGCCTACCAGGAGGTTCCCATTTTAAGTGGAAAGAAACAATTAGTCACACAATCTATTGGGCAGTTAGATCTGTAGGAAATTATTCAGTATACATAATTTAGAAGTATTCCAGGGGTTGAGATACATGGAAATCATCTCTCGCCTATGGCTCAGTACATCCATAAGCAAATCTCTATCTCTGCGGCCCCCCCAACCCCATTCTACTAATAGTCTGTGTGTTTGTATACAGACACCTACTGCACAAAGCAGGGTTATTGTAATTATGTGTCTGGATTACTGGAGACATGAGCATTACATTCCTGGAATGTGGGAAATAATTAGTGGGGCAAAGAGGTTCTGGAATCCTCATCTGCCTTGCTATTTTCTGAATCCCCAAGCCACTAATTAAAACGTGCCTCTAAGA